CTCACTACATTCGACTTGCCCGGATGTATACGTAGGCTAACACTCCTTGATAGGCTGTTGAGCTCCTTGCTTTTTTTCTAGAATCCGAGCATGTGTGTGAGAGAGCAGTGCAAAGTCATCGGTGAAGTCCAAATCGTCCAGCTGCTGCCAAGGGATCCACTGTATTCCATTGCGCTTGCCTCTGGGGGTTTCTTTCATGGCCCAGTCAATTGCCAGTATGAAGAGAAAAGGTGAGAGCAAGCATCCTTGTCGCACTCTTGTCTGTACTTGGAATTGTTCTGAGAGTTGTCCTTCGTGGAAGACGTGGAAGTATGTTCCATCATAGGTGGCCTTCACAAGCTTGACGATTTCGTATGTCAGGTATTCCATAATGCCGCACGAGTCTCCACAGAGTTTCCCTGTCCACGCTGTCAAATGCCTTTTTATAATCAATGAAGTTGATCACGAGTGGTGAATTGCATTCAAGCATTGGCTTAACAATGATGCGCAGAGTAGCTATATGGTCCGCACACGATCGGTTTTTGCGGAATCCTGCCTGGTTTCCACGGAGGTTCTCGTCTGTTGCCAGCTTGATTCTCTCCAGGAGTATTCTGTTAAAGACTTCCCCAGGTATGGACAGGAGTGTTATGCCTCTATAGATGTTACAGTTGCCGAGGTCTCCCTTCTTTGGCAGCTTTATTACACGGCTTTCCTTCCAGTCTGATAGTATTTCCTCTTCTTACCAAACGTTTTAGAATAGAGCATAGACAATTTCCACGGTCCACTGATGTATCTTTATCTGCCTTAAGGGCTTCAGGGGATTGTTGGGACCAGCTGCCATGTGGGACTTAAGTGATGTTATGGCTGCAGCAATAAATTTCTTCTCTCGAATGTGGTTCCGTAACTATTGAGAGGTCATTTCTGGCTGGAAGAAATTCTGGTTGGTTTTCTGTTCACTAGTTGATCAAAGTGTTCTCTCCATGGGTTAATTTGCTTGAAGATAGTCTTTCCCTCTTTGTCTTTCACTGGTAAGTGGGCTTGCCGAACCTACCTGAAAGAGTTTTTGTTGTCTGGTGTACAATCCGCAAGTCTCCGTCTGTTTCTGCTTTCTCTGCCTTTTCGGCTAGGACATTCGGGTAGGTCTTCTTGTCCTTTTTGATGGATTTCTTTACTTCCCGGTTTACTTCGGTGTACTCTTGTTGTGCAGCGAGTTTCTCAGTTTGGATGCGTTTGTTGTTGACTTTAGCCTTCAGCTCTCTTCTTCCTTTGACTTTGTCTAAAGAGTCCTGTGAAATCCATTTATTCCTGGAGTTGACTTTGGGTCCTAGGGTTCTCTGGCAAGTTGCATTTATTGCCTCTTTTTTCTTGTCCCAGTGTTCGTTTATTTCACATCAATCCAGATCTTGAAGGACTTGAAATCTGTTTTTCAGTTCCAGCTTGAATTCATTCTTTTTTACTTGGTCTTTCAGAAGGCTCACTTCATACTTTTGACGACTTCCAGTTGTGACTTGTGCATAACCTTTTAGTTTCAGGTCAACATTCCAAGGATCAAATGGTGGTCCGATGCGACGTCTGCTCCTCGTAAGACTCGGACGTCCGCCATTAACGTTGAAAGTGTAAACTTTCGGGAAATACAAAAAAAAAGGTAAATCTGGTTTTCCGTTGTTCCATCCTCGGAGACCCAAGTGACCTTATACATCCTTTTATGAGGGAAGATTGTTCTTCCAAAGTTTTTGAATGCACGGAAGTTCTGGAATCGTTCCCCGTTATTTTTTGCCTCTCCTAATCCATGTTTGCCCATGACTTTCTCACAGTGACGAGTGTCTGATCCTACCTTTGCTTTTAGGTCTACCATGACAATGGTGATGTCCTTACCTGGACGTTTGTCGATCACACTCTGCAGGCGGTTGTAGAAGTCATCTTTATTCTCCTTTTCTGCATCATTGGTTGGGGCATACACTTGTATGCTTTTCCTGTTTATGACCTCCTTCCTGCCATCTCTTTCCTTGAGTTCTTTCTTACTTTCAAATGAGACCATAATTATCCTTGGACCGTCCGCTTCCCAGCCCGGGAATGTCTTTTAAAAAATGTTTTGGATATGATCATCCCCTCTTCTTCCCTGTGTGGTCCTTCGCTGTCATTTCCTGAATAAATGACAAGCTCGCCCTCTTTAATTCGCTTTTATCAAGACTGATTCAAGTGGGCGTCTCTGATTCCCTGTATGTGTAGTTGGTATCGGTGCATCTCTTGTTGGAGGACCTGTGCAGTTTTTCCAGCCTTATAAAGGGTCCTAACGTTCCACGATCCAATCCGAAAGAGGGGGGGGGGTAGTGTGTTCAGATTATGTTGGTCATTATCAGGCTGATGCAAATGGGTTATATTATTACAGATCTAGTACTATAATGTGTAACTTCTCTGGTCTGGTAGGTGTGTTCTTAGTCAATTAAAAAAATTAATTTTAAACGTCGGCTTTGAGCCAACTCGCGTATTCTGTCCTGACAAATGTGTAAAGCAGTTTTAAAAATAAAGTGGGTAACTTTTTTTTCACAGACGCTGTATCTTCATGTTTTTATAGTTTTTAAAGGGGTGCCCTGATAACTTTTCTGGTATCACTTGAACAACAGAGCAGAGGGCCATGTTTCGAATCCCGACTGAGCGTTCTTGACATTTCAAGGCTCTCAACCCTTTAGACTCGGTCATACCGAGAGACAAATGTTAAATTCGGAGGTTCCGCCTCTTGAGAAAACTAACATTAGAATAAGGGTTCAATAATTATAACGTGACAACACCCCCCCCCCCCCCAACTAAATAAATAAACCAACAAAAACAAAACAACAAACAAACAACAAAGCCCCCCCCCTCCCCCACCAGAAGAAAAAAACACAAACACCCCAACCAAAAACTGAAGATTTCGCACCTCAGGAGAAACAGGCCCTAAATGAAAAACAAAACAAAGGACGGTCTCCATATTTCGTGAAAAAAAGCCCAAGCATTTGCAAGAAGAGACACGCATTAAAATTAAACCCTGTTGTTATTTAAAATATGTAGTTTCGTGTACTTGAACATGAGTAGAGATTTTTTTATAAAGTGTTTTTAGCCCTCCATCGACATAATTTAGATCATTCAGGCGGCGAGTTTTGACCCTGTCTCTCAGCGCCAACCCAGGTTGGAAGGATACAACATCCCTACAGACAGACCGAGACACTCGATAAAAATTCTTTTTACACAAGCATCGAACTCAAGTCTTTCTAATGCGTGATGACAGCACGCCTGACCACTACACCACAGGCGGCGTTGTAATTCTTTACTGTCTAAGGAATAGATATCTAATTCAATATGAGGAAAACAACAACAACAACAACAACAACAACAACAGCAGCAACGACAACAACAACAACAACAACAACAACAACAACAACAACAGACAGACGAAACAAAAAATCCCTGATTTTCCTTTCTTTCAGATTCTTAAAAATTTATTTATTCATTTTATTCTATAATTGCATTTTGGTAGGCTCAGGATCTGCGGTCTTGTAAACATCTTCTCCTGCAGATAGAACGATATAGATCTACTAACTTTTAAAAAATCGGACTTGTGCTTTGTAATAATAGCACCAAGGATATTAAAAATATGCAATTCAAAACGTTTGTGTTAACCTCTTAACTACAGTATCCTCGCTTGTGTTCTCGGAAACTGGTTCTCTGCTCATTTGTTTACTGGTTCAGAGGGGAAGCTAACTCAAACGTTATTATACCTATACAGTCCTATTTTCTTAAATAAGGAGAAAGATTTTATCTTCTTCCTTTTCAGGTGTCAGGTCTGGAGTGGATATTGACGATCATGGTACCTCTTTCCTTCTTGTTGTCAGTCTTCGTAAGATCTTGATCAGCACAGTTTTTCTCTTTGTGTCATTCGTTTCAAAGTTGTTCAGGCCATCTGTGTATGATGTTCTTTGTCTTCCTCTGCCTTTCGTTCCGTTTATCTTTCCACATAGAAGCAGATTCTTAAGTCCATTAGATCTATTTATGTGACCAAAGAATCTCAATTGTCATTTTCTAATGGTTCTGATTATGGATCTTTCACATCCTACCATTTGGAGCATTTCTCTAATTATTTTCCCCGCTGTCCATAAATAATAATAATAATAATAATAATAATAATAATAATAATAATAATAATAATAATAATTATTATAATAAATAAAAATTGTTTAATGATTGATAGCATTTAGATTCTATGCCGCGCATTTCCATTTTCTAAAAAAAAAAATGCTCGATATGCATTACATTCAAAGAGATATCATATTTAAAAATACCTGGACAGCAGGACTGGGCGCCGAACAAAATATTTTGTTTATATTTCGTAAATGTTTAATAACATTTTTATGAGAAAGTTAGTCACGCAGTGAGCCATGCAATGCGTGCACTAAAAAAGTAGAATACAATAAAAACTCATTAAGGACTACAACAATAAAACTGAAACTTGAATGGCGAGAAAGAAACGTTCGTTTTCTATAGACAGGATTTCTACCCCTCCCCCTCCCCTCTCTCTCTCTCTCTCTCTCTCTCTCTCTCTCTCTCTCTCTCTCTCTCTCTCTCTCTCTCTCTCTCTCTCTCTCTCTCTCTCTTTTTCTCTCTCTTTCTCTCTCTTTTTGTCTCTCTCTTTCTCTCTCTCTCTTTCTCTCTCTCCCCCCTTCTCTCTCTCTTTCTCTCTCTCTTCTCCCTTTCTCTCCGTCCCCCCTCTCTCTCTGTTCCTCCTCCCAATCTCACTCGCAATTTCTTCAGTCTCACCGCAAGGCATGTTCCAGAAAAAGTAACAGTTCAACGTTATGATTAATTTTATATGGGGACCAAAGAAGGAAAAGTGACCCTCGCCGCATGTTCTGTACTTTTGTGTTTGGGTTCTAAGAATCTGTTGTCAGTAGCTGACACCGCTATTGCACTGTTGTAATCTCCGTTGAATGAACTTTTGATATCCTCTGTACAAACGCTGATGGATACGTCTCTGCAATGGAGGGGTTTTAAAGTTTGACCATTCCTCTTGCAGGCATTGTCCACGACAAGGCAAAGGAGACAAAGGCGCAAGCTGCAGCAATGAGAAACATGTACATCCACCCTAGTGTGGCCACGAGGTAGGGCACGATGGCCGGCAGGAGTATAGATACAGGAATAGAGGCCGTGAAGACGAGAGCGACGTTTGTGCTGTAGTAGGCCGGCCCGTACATCTCTCGCACGGAGTAGTGGAACTGGGTGTACACCGTGGTCACGCTCGAGAACGCGCACACCACCCAGAGCACGTACATTGGCGGGTATATGTACAGGCTCACCATCATTAGGTTGATGAAGATCGCCGAGAGGCCGCCAGTTAGAAGAAGGCCTGCCCTGGAGCCCATCCTATCCACAAAAATCCCGTTAAAAGGTCGCGTAATCATCATCGAAAAGAGACCCAAAACACCAGTGATGGTAAGCAGGGCGTCGTTGTGAAGGTAGCTTTCCCCAAATTCTTTGAACAGGCTTGAGTGAATGAACATGGTGATACTCAAGAGGAAATGAAGAATCCATAAGACCCAGAAGGATTGAGTCCTCAGTACTTCATTCGGGGAAAGCCCGTAAGTAGAAGCATTTGACTTATGACAGCCATTTCCTGTGGGTTCTGAGTCCTTCCTTTGTCCGTGTTGCAGCACTGGCGTTTTACTTTCGTTCTGGGGTTGTGGAACTCTTCTGCTGACCCCTGACCTCTCGTCGCTCCCACGTTGTATTGTCGAGGGCTGGGAGTGACAGCCATTTTTTCTTTCCAGTGTCCCATATTCGGGTTTGTCCCTTGCTCTTTTATTGCAATTCGTCAATTCTGAATCAGATTGGGAAAGGGTGTCTTCCTCTTCCCCATTTGCAATGTGGAGTGTTTCTTTTTCTTCTTTTCCTTCTACTCCACCTTCATTCACCGATTCCGCGGGCTTTATTCGTTGAGAAATATATAACAGCGCTAGACCACCATAGAGAATGAAACTGCCGAAGGCACCCAACATTATGAAGAAGTAGGGCACTCGCTCCACGATGGCTGGGTTGGTGAAGTACCTCATCCCCCCGTCGCTCGCGTCACTCGGCTCGTTGTGCGGATTCACAACCAGGAACGACAACCCTGTAATGACGAGGGCACCGAGACTACTCCCGGAAGCCATAACGCCCTTAGATAACGCTGAGTGAGTGCCAATGCCACTGTCGCATATTTTCCAGCTTAAATTATATAAACATCCAGCGCAGAATCCTTGCAGAGCACCAAATGTCACCAGCAGAGCAATCGGATTTACAATGGTATAGAAACTTATAAACGCACCAGTAACTTTCAATGTAACAAACAAGGCCACAGCACGAAAGTTGCCAATGGATCTGCCCACAAAGCTTGAGGTGAGCATTCCAAGAGGCACCAGTACCCTGTACGTGGTGAGGATCCACAACGAGTCTATGTAGATGTCCGACTGATGAGCGTGGTAGTAGGTGTAGAGGTAGATCAGGATGTTTCCGAAGTAGGAGGAGGCGCTGATAGGCATTATAAACGCCATACAGCTGACTACCAGAGTTTTCGCTTTCAGCGACTGGGAGCTCCGAAGGGCTTCCCTCGCCCCAGCAAACAGGGGGCGTGGCTTGGACACTGTGAATGACAACATTAAAACATATTCTATATCAAATAATTATATTTTATTGATCCTCTTGGGGAACTTTGGTTAATAATGGAGTAAAATATATTATACACGCCTAAATACAATACGTGGTTAGAACAGAAAACGTGTTTGTGTAGATATGCACAAAATTTCAAGTCTGTAAAAAGAAAATTATGGTTGATTTTAAAGAAGAGATAAACTTACTTCTGAGACAGACCTCGTGCATTAGTACATAGATACACAGATATAAACATACTGAAACACACAGACATGCAACAAACACACAGACCATTGCTGGTCGTCGTTGTCAAGGGCCCTGGATTTTTTTAAGCAAGGGTTATAATGTCTCGCTCAAGGACACATCCCTGTGACCACCCACCTAAGCGCTGTGTCACCGACGTATGTTTGAAATTTATTGTGAGCCTGAACTCACTAAACACTCGGTCACTGTAAGTTGATTATTCTTAATATTTTCGTGAAGGAAGAAATGTTCTCTCTTTTGCCCAACAGCACACACACTATTAGTCAAGAAATCGCGAGACGTCGTTTTACAGGATACCTCGACCTCGATACAGTAAACGACGGACCTTCGACATAGAAGGCGAAATAATCTTTCGGCACTTTTCTATTCCACAACATCGTCTTGGCCAAATATTCACTATTTGCTTAGTGCCGCACTTCGGCAAAAACAGTTGGCCTGCGGTTTCGTCGTTGAGAGGAGAACAATGAAAATAAGAGAAGCACAGCTCAAGATAAGATTGTGCTGCTTTAGGTCAGCAGGCTTCCTTGTCTGCAACTCACTGAAAGGACCGTTGGCCAACTGTTTTATCGGAGTGAGGCACTGGGCTTACTGTAATGTGGTGGTTGGTGGGCGCCACTTGTTAGTCCTACTTCATTCCTTTCGTTCTGTCATTCTTGTCTGTTTTCTTTTTCCCTTGCACGAACTGACTGTTAACTTTTTGAGGACACGCGTTCATACCATATGACATTGCCTGAAGATAAGATGTTTTTGGGCATAACCTCGATGTCATAACAGATTTTTTCAATTCTGTTTCCTTTATCGAAAACCTGAAACGGTAAGCAACAACTAGCATAATTTGAAATATATGCAGCTTCGTAGTACTGGTCTTTGTAAAATGCTTTGAAATATTTTGCTGCCCTGCAGATCGGACTTATGTGTCCGCTTCGTTCTTAGCGCGTTAATTAGGGGCTCTCGTGGCCAAGAGGTTAATGTGTTCGCCTCTTGGTCAATGGTCCCGGGTTCGAATCTGGATAGCGACGGAACATTTTCTTATCTGAAATGTTCTCCTTTCACATATTTTCCTGCTCTCTAACAATGTTCTGTTGTCTGCTTTCGTCTCCTCTTTCTGCCCTCACCCCTTCACCTCCTTTGCCCTCTCCTCAGGGCTCCCGACTCTTTCTGCAACCTTTTTACTGCCTCTCATTGGCTTCTTCTCACTGCTGTCTTTCAGTCACACCCCTGATCTTATGGTAGATAAAATCCACACCTAGCCTTCTCGGATTAGGGCGAAAAATCTCGGAAGTCTCGGATGCAAGTTGAACCCGTTTAAGATCCCTGGGTGGTCCAGAATTGATAAGAGTAGGCTTCGGCCGCCATCAGGACAAAATTCAGAATGTCCTACAAACTGAAAATGTTTAATGTGTCCCGCGCGCTCACACATGACCGTATGCTGTTGCGTGCGCCGTAAAACACGTCGATCTACCCCCCCCCCCCAAAAAAAAAAGAGAAAAAAAAAAGAAAAAGAGCGTGCTTGTTTTAATATCAAACTCAGTAGGACATATGTGGTGTACATTTCAACAACTTTTAAGTCTAAATGTCATTCAAAAATACATACAGAGACCTGGTTGTATACAAACTATGCATTACGTTCCATTTAAAGAGTTATTAACAATATAACAATAGATTTAACTTACTGCTTCTCGAGATCGTTGTTCTGAAATCACTTTTGGAAACTCCTTATCAGCGGCACATGAACGTCAGTAAAGCATGCACTTCCAGCATTGAGTGTGAAGACGGCTGATTCTGTCTTGGTTTTTTTTTTATATGTTGATTTGTTTAATTTCTTAAATTTAAATAAAGGCTAAGAATATAACTTTCTCTAGAGCTTGAAATAGATCCCAGAAGGGCCACGTTTCAGCTCAGCGACTTAGCAGCAATTAATGTCTCCTCGCAACATAGCTTGGAGCCAGAGTGTGCAACAGTGCAAGTCGAGACACCTGCTCAGAGAGCTCACTTGATTAAAATATTGTGCGGTATTTTTCTAGGATAAAAGGCTTACAAATTTTCTTTGAAAAAAATACAATTCCGATTAAAAGTCAATGCCCCGCCCAGCTTCGTCTGGCGCTTCCTTGTAACAATGAGCCTACTGTCTACTGCTTGTCACCAGTGCTAATTTCTATTATTGGAACAAACAAGGGGAAAGGTGATACGCGAAGAGCTGCAAGGTTTGAATAACAATGACTTGTGCTTTTTTAAATGTCTGAACAACGGAATGACTGACACAAAGCGAGCCTGAAAGGCATAGCGCAATGTAGTAAAAGGAACGTTTTTAAAAAGCATTATAATTACGGCGGTCTTTAAATTTTAAACAAAACATTCTGCCGACAGGTTTTAAATGTAGGTATTTTTACGCCTCGATCCACACAATTTAAGTAATTAAGGAGGAAAAATTCCCACCCTGCTTGTCAGGGCCAACCAAGTCTGAGAGGCATACAACATCCAACTCTGCAGAAAGACCTGGATACTCCATTAAAGAAAAGTTTTCTCCACTTGGGAATAAACTCAGGTTTCCTTCATGCAGTAGCGAAGTGCTTATAAAACCTGGCTGCTACATCAGAGGTGCTGGTCTGCTTAATCTACATGTTTTTGGATACTGGATAGAAAAAGCATAACGAACACTCACGTACATGTGAAGCTATCTCTGTTCTCTTGAGGCTGAGCTCACCACGAAGATCTCTCTCTCTCTCTCTCTCTCTCTCTCTCTCTCTCTCTCTCTCTCTCTCTTCCTCTCTCTCTCTTCCTCTTTCTCTCTCTAAGAATATTTGCCATTAGACGATATGATGTGGAAAGGCTGAATGCATGTACGGAAAAGAAAGTCTCCCTTTTTTTCTCCGATATCTCAAAAAACATCATTTACAATCATCATCAAGTGACAGACGTAGGCGATCATGGTCCTCCGTTCATTCCTTTGCTCGGATAGCCTGCTCTAAAACAAAACTACATTATCTTGATTATTCCCCGTCACCCATCTGTTCGGGCTCTTCAGGTTGGTTGCTCAGGGTCTCTACCCCTGCCTCGTTTGCCTTCCCTTTTGCTAGTGAGAGCTAGATGCATGCTCAAGGCCTTCATTATACTTTATACCTCTTCAAGTGTCTCAGAAACTGCATTTATTGTCTTTTACTGATTGGATACATCAGCGAGCGACCTACGCGGGCTTCTTCAAATACAATGTACTACATAATTTGATTTCTTTGCATTCTCCTGGATAGCACAAATAACAGTGTCTTAAGAAACCAGGTTCCTGTCCCCCCACCAGGGCAATGCTACTGACCGAAGTACTGAAGTTGTCTCTTTAGGCCATCTCCCCACCCTCCAAAAAAGGGGGGTGTTGGATATTAACATGTTCTTAAGCACAGTAGATTTGTAAACAGGCTGATTTATCAATGTCATGCTCATACTGTGCTGGAACAACATAGGGAGAACTGATGCTTTTTCGTTCCTCATCCTTACTACCGTCATTTCCCTCTACTTATTTTGCATGTTTGTCACTCTCTTGTGAACTGCTATATCTGGGATGCCTTGGTAGTCGAACGAAGCAGACTTTGTGCTGTTGAGGCTAGAGAAGTGAGCAGAATAAGCCTGATTCCACGTTTGGACTTCTCTGTTGACATCCACCCCTTGGTACTCATAATGACCTTTTGCAGTTGCGAGCGCCGTAAAATCTTACTAAAACAAAGCGATTAATCTTGCGACGTTTGGGTGTGATATTGTACAGTACTTCCACACCTGTCTCACCGCTTTTCCTTGCGTGATGTTCTGCAGAAAGTTGGATCTTCGACTTTGTCCATGCTGACTATTTAACACAATTTTATATTTATTGCAGTTTCTGAATCTGTAGTAACAGTAACGATTGCAATGGCTTGTGCTAAAGAACTATTTTGCCAAAATTGTAATTCCATTTCTGAATGTTGAAAAAACTCAAGAAAAATACGTAGATCTATATATATAGTGTAGGCACATTTATTAAAAGAATTAAAACGTTTCATGTCTCCTGTAAAATATAGCTTTCTGGGCTTAGAACATTTTAACAGCTTGGTGGCGATTACCTCTCACACTACCAGACGACAGCATCCATCAATAAAAACTCACCTCTACAAAGATTTGAACTTGAATGCCTGCATTGAAGTGAAGAGTACTATCAACTGAGGCAATAATATAGCAGTCTTCGAAGGGAAAAAAACCGAAACAAACAACATTTTAATTAGACCCATGATAAGGTGCACGAATTCGAACTTTTATAAAGTATAGATTAGAGAGGATCAATACTTCAATCCCCGACATAATGACACCGGGCTGAGAAGTAAGAAAAGGGAAGGACGACAGTGATCAGTGACATTCTGATTCGAACCTGAACTCTCTGTAGTATAGCTGGTCGAATTCAGCGCCAAATACACCACGACAGTCGGTCATAAAAATCCTTCTTTCCACTATTAGAGTTTTCCACGGCTTTGTACTTGAATTTTTAATAAAAACGAATAAATTAATTTACGACAACAATCAATTCACGACCATTTTTGCCATGAAATTAGCGTTTCCACAATAACTTTGGCTAAATATGCAAACTACACGGAATATTCATGATTGTGCGTTTTACAACAGGTGCAACAACCAGGGACGCCAGACTGTCAAGTCATGGCTCTAAATGTGTGTCATCTTGGGGGGATTCAGGCTCGTGTCAAAATAATGAAATCGAAATACGTAACAAAGAATTGTCCGCATGTTGATCTTTTTTTAAATTTCTTTTTCTTTTTCGTTCTTTTTGGGTCAGCACATTTTAAGTGCAATGATGCGTTTTTGTGACAAATTTGCAGAAACTCAAAGAGCGAATTTCATGATGGTACCAATTATAACGTAATGGGCAAAAATTGACGTGTGCCCGATTCCATCGTGTCATGACACAAATAAGGTTTACCTTGCTTCTCTTTCGTGGACATTATATCTACGAGAATGCCGCTGTTTTTTGGTGTCAAATATTATCTACATGACTTCTTTTGTGTGTAAAAAAAAATTAAAATGTTGACTCCCCATTCTTAATACTACGTTAGAAGTGTCTCTCTCTCTTTCTTCCTCCTTCTCTCTCTCTCTCTCTCTGTCTCTCGCTCTCTCTGTCTGTCTCTCGCTCTCTCTGTCTGTCTCTCGCTCTCTCTGTCTGTCTCTCTCTCTGTCTGTCTCTCGCTCTCTCATGACATCACGGTGGCCCAAACATGTCCACACTGAGAGTGAAGACCCTGAATGTACGCACATGTAGTACTATAGGTTAAGTAAGTTCCTTATGGAGTGCTCAAGTTTACTTTTACCCTTTTGTGGTTGGGGCTTGTCGTTTTACTTTTACCAGACACAATGTAGACCTTTACGAAGGGACGATCTTATAGAATACATGTATCCAGACTTTGGAGAGACCCCCAAAAAAATATTTCAAAGGTGTTAATTTGAAAAATTTATTCTTCTCCATCGTTGATCCCAACTAAATTCTTCTTTTTCTACAGTTCATTGGTCTTTACTCAAAGATGAAAATAATTACATTTTAAAAACGTAATTCACCGCTTTACAGCTGAAATTTTACCGTGATTTTTAAAAACTTCAATCATTCTGACTTTATGAAGTCAAACAAAGCCGTTCTGTGAACTAATGCGAAAACAACCAACTCGTTCATACAATACGGCCTTATTCAGACTGCAATTCAACGACAATCAAAAACTTTTCAAACAAAATGTTTACAAAGAATTTTACTTATAAAATGGAATGGCTTTTTTACAAATAAGGAAGTGTTAGAAAGAGCTGGAATTGAAGACATCAACAGATCTTAAAAGGAGAAGATGGAGGTACATGTAGGACATGTTCTAAAAATGGCGAAGACAAGAAGGCCCTCCTATCAGACATAGTATTGGAGACTAGCTGGAAAAAGAAAAAGAGGAAGGCCAACTGGAAGCTACAGGGGCACAACAAAGGATGAGGCAAACGCCCAGGGTCTGGATGTGCTGAGACTGGAGAATGTCGCTCGGGACAAGCAAGCGTGGGGTGGACTGCTCTTCATCTTATGTACCTGCTGGAGTAGGGAGAGAGCAAGTCAGTAAGTAAGTCTTCAGACTGAAACTGAAGGACGAGCACCCGGCTCTCAAGTGTCAAGTCACAAAGCGCGGAAAGAAGGAATATTCCAGAACCGACGAGAAATACTTTTAGTTTAGTTTTAGTAGAGGTTTTACGGTGCTCGCAACTGCATAATAAGGTCATATGAGCGCCAGAAGATTAGAGATGTTACAAGAGAGTAACAAACATAAAAAAGAAGTAGGGGAGATAAGGATGATAGATGTTTGATAGGAAAGAAGAAACAAACCACACCAGAGCACCCGCCAACCACCCACAGAGAAATACTTAAACTAGTAACTTTTTAGGACACAGGCTTCTGTCCCTGCCTGTCAGGGCCAATCCGGGCTGAGAGGGATACATGTACAACATTCCTGCAGAAAGACTGAAATGCTCCAAAAAAATCCCCGTCTCTTTTGGGAATCGAACTCGAGTCTCCTGCCTGTAGTTGCATTTGGCAGCAAAGGGCCTAGTCGCTACACCTCTGATCGCCTTTTATCTCGAAACTGCTGTGACTTAAAAAAGCAGTTTTTTCAGCTTACGACAGTGATAAAACAACTTCCTGATGCAGGCATCCAACCCCGAACTGTGGCAGAAGCCTAATCATTACCAGACAGACTGTTGCTTACTTTTTGTTCCAGTAAGAGTTTTACGGCCCTTACAACACAATTAGGTCATGTAAGCGTGAAAAATTAGTTGTTACAAGAGAGTAACAAACATAAAAATAGGAGAGAAAAGGATGATAGATGTTTGATAGAAAAGAAGGAGACCACACCAGACCACCACCCAGACTCTATCTCATGATTCACTGTATAAGCTTTTGCCAGAGAACATCACCACATACACTAATGTGACTTTGATGATACAGGCTCTGGTAGGCTGGAAAGTACTACCGGTACTAGTGCTAGTGACATGTCTGACCTCTTGCTGGGCCAACAAAGTCCCGAGTTACAAAAACAAAGTCATTATGACTTAAGTGACAGTCATCGAAAATTAATGAGAGTGTGCCAAAAGAAAGGTACCAAAAGTTGCCACAGAGCATTTTGAGCTACAGGCTGATGATGACAAAAATCCCTTTTTTGACCAAAATGTTTTCCATAAAAAAATGATAGCTCCACCATTTTTTAACAATGTGTAAAAAGGGTTTTCATTGATTTGACTTGTAAATATTTTGTTTTAAATAATTTTGAGACTGACATTTTTTAAAGATACAATGAAAACTGCTTTTAGAAGGTGTTAAAATCTATTCTCAAAATTAGATTTTTATACCCTACCTCACAAAATGTGCAGTATCTCAAAAACTACTTGAAACATCTCAAAAATTAAAAAACCACTGTGTTCAGCATTGAATTTCCTATAAGGTGCAACCTTAACTCAAAACGGTCAAAATCCGACTTTTGGTACTTTTCTTTGGGCACACACTTTGTATGTGTTCAGGTAACTTATACTTGAGTCAAGAAAATCAAACACTTCGTATGTGTTCAGCTAACTTATACTTGAGTCAAGAAAATCAAACACTTTGTATGAGTTCAGCTAACTTATACTTGAGTCAAGAAAATCAAACACTTTGTATGTGTTCAGCTAACTTATACTTGAGTCAAGAAAATCAAACAATTTGTATGTGTTCAGCTAACTTATACATGAGTCAAGAAAATCAAACACTTTGTATGTGTTCAGCTAACTTATAGCCTACTTGAGTCAAGAAAATCAAACAATTTGTATGTGTTCAGCTAACTTATACATGAGTCAAGAAAATCAAACACTTTGTATGTGTTCAGCTAACTTATACTTGAGTCAAGAAAATCAAACAATTTGTATGTGTTCAGCTAACTTATACTTGAGTCAAGAAAATCAAACACTTTGTACCAGGTACAGCGACAGAACCAAGCCAGAAAGAATCCACGATGACACAATCACTTTATTTCATTTGCTCTGAGAAAACATGAGATGTTCAAAACAAAACTACCAACATGTAAAAAACCAGTGTACTTGGAACAATAATCCTTGTGTTTCTAGAGGTTCTGAGCTGCTCATTTGTTCTAAAAAATCTTGCCCTATGGCAATTGCATTCACTCCACTTTATAATTTGAGGTTCTTGCTCCTTGTGATAAATTCAAAAATTTTGCTCCCTACATTTCCATTTATGTCAAAGACATGTTAACCCCAAAAATTTGAAAACTGGCAACAAATTAGTTAACAGATCTGTTTTTTCACACACCACCTCTTGAACTCCCTTTCATTCCTTTTTATTTTTAAAGAATTAAAATCATGAAAAACTCGCATGGAAAAAAAGATAAAAATATTATTACAAGTCATACTTTGAACAATGTAGAGAAAAAAAAAAGAGACATTGAATGACTTGCAGTCTATAAGATATGCCTAAATGACAATCTATTGAAGTCATTGAAACAAGATTCCAGAGCACATTTGCAGGTGTACAGACCCAAATAAACCATATCTCAGACACAGTCATCGGCAACACAACATATACCAATGTGTTCATACATCAAGATAAAGACATTAAAATACAGCTTACATGCCTTGAAACATTAAAGGATGGAATTCCCCCAAAATGATTCGAACATTCAAATTCCATTTCTTCCATTACACACATTTCTGCAGCAAAGCTGGATTTAACAAAAGATAGCACAGGTAAAAAAACAGAAAAAAATGTCTATGCAAAGTACCACCAGGGCCCCATGTTTAATGTTCCAGGCAGGGCATTCTGAACTTTTCAAGTTTATCGAGAATTGCTTACCCATGCAACAAAATGAGAGTACTACTAACAGTAGTAACAGGCTTCAGACAGAATGCATTAGGACCTCTCCTCACCAAAGAGTTGAATCTGATTGCTTGCACAGTAATCTAATGTCTTGTCCGCTGAGGATAAGAGCAGCTTTTGAAAAGGAAATTCCTGGCAACATAAGTTCAAAACTCACTGTCCATAAGAACCAGAAATGCCAGCAAGTCCTTCAACTTTTGTCAAAACTCGTTCTACAGTCTGCCTTTGGTAGATCCCTGGAGATCAGTTTCGCCTCAACTAAAATAAAAATCGACAAACAATCAACTGTACAACATAAGAACATAATTCAAACAAAAAGTCTGAGAAACTGTTTTGTCGGATACAAATCCCAAAACTAGCTACTCGAGCCGCGTTTCTGTGCAAAATCCCCCAGTTCCTGGCTCAGCAACAACATTCCAACAGCATGGTGTAGCTAACTGAAGCTAAGGCTGAACGGAACTGTCCATACTCAAAGTCATTGAAACAAGATTCCAGAGCACATTCACCTTCTGAAATCCACTGTAAAGGTGTGCACCTTGTAGGAACTGCAGATCAATGACTTCCTTTGAAGAATCTTAGGCAGACGCAAGGGGAACAGCAGATGATAGACTACGGGAGAAAAACTGGTGATGTCACATTATCCGGCTAACTGTAAATTTTTAGATTTAGAAACTTCATTTTTTTCTTTCATGTGTAGAATAAGGCTTTGTGTTCTACTGTTGGAATATCACTTTAGCAGTTATTTTAGAGAGGTTTCATCTTTTTAAGTCATCACTATACTACATAACGGGGATTTGAAAAAAAAACCAGGTTTTGACACCAGCAGTTCTTTTAATCTGTAGTCTTTCAATGACTGTCGGCACAGCCAATAACAGACGCTCAACCAAAAAGCACATTCCATTAGCTTGCGTTGCACAAATGGAGGACCAAAGTTCCCAATAGCACACCAGAATCCAATGATCACACTAGAACAAATTGCAGTAAGCTTGCTTAGAACAAAAAAATTAAATACAAGACATTTCATCTCTTCGATAAAAAGAATGAACGAATGCCTCTTTCCCAAACAAACAAGGAATTGACTGAATTTTGAAATGTTTTCTTACTGCGCCCTTCTTCGTACTTTTAGAATTGGCAGTGCCATTTTCCTACAAAAGTCAACATTGCCATTTTACCTTTCAGTCTGCCTAAAAAGCAATTTCACTAAAGTGGAAACCATATATAACAGGCCCTGTAATAACAGGGAATTTTTAAATCCCCTTTTATTTCCTACTCTTTGTCTCTATTAAAATTATCGACAGGGCCTCATCGTAGTCCAATCGGTTATAGCAGGGACAAATGCTGTTAACAATGGGGTGGGGGGGGACCAGCAAGTCCATGCCAGCCACGCCACTGCAAGTGCAAGCACACGCAGCGGGTGAAGTGAGAGAGGGCTGCGGTGTGCTGCAGACTTCGATCTAGCCCTAAGCCTAGCTACACGAAAGCCCAATGAGTCATGCGCAGGGTACTTGTAGCAAGAGAAACTACCCATGAAAAAATACAGCTGGATTAGTCCACAAATGCTCACTTCACTTGCATTTCTGATTTAACACGGACCTGATATAACAGGACTTTTGTTCTGGTCCCACCATCCCTGTCATATCAGGTTTCCACTGTACTCATTCAGAACCTGAACAAGAATCTTAATCATTCAATTCAATATCTTGCAATATTGTTTTCCACCCAAAATATTCTACTTCTGGTGACATTTGTGCTAAAAAACACATACCAGAGTTTCTGTAATAAATCTAAAAATTTTGAAGGAAAGAGGCCATTACAATTGTTTTTTTGCTTTTTTTTTGTTTCCAGTTTGTTAACATCCTTGTTGAAAACTTTATTGCAATAACAATTTGGGCAGAGAAAAGAACCACGGCTGTCCAACAGGCGAGGCTTTCAGTCAGCCATCTTGGCCAGGGTCTGTATAGGCATGATAAGGATGTTGGAATTGGAATCTGCTTCTTGACTGTCACATTTAAACACGCCTTCATTCCCATCCATGCTGATCAGTGAACCTGTGGCATCACGTTCCTCGCCTGCTATCACTTTGGCCTGAGGACAAAAAACATTTAATATAAGACCTATTCATTAAATAAAAAATGTTCTTATATTCTAAAGTCTTCATAGTTCTGGTTCCCTCTTTCCTTCAAAACAACAGCTTGCCTCTCTACCCGCTCTTTCTTCAACTTGAACCTCACTGTAGCTCTGCTTCATGACAATACTCCACACTTATGTTTTGTGTTGTGTACATGTTTGTGGGTGTGTGTTTGTGGAAAGGTGGCAGGAAGGGTAGAGAAAGCAATAATCCCTCAGAACCAGAACAGTAGACTCTCAAGTAGAAGAGGAATAAAGGCAATCCCCCCCCCCCTCCCCAGAAGCACAGGTATTTTCCTGACCACCCAAGAACAAACATGAGCTCTCCTTAAACTGAGGTGAAAAAAGACACAAGAACTAAGGAATATCCATATATCAATGAACACAGGTACAGCTGAGTACTGGGTTCACCCCTCCAAGCCATCATATTAAAAAAAAAGAAGATATTTGAAAGATGTGTTTGTATTGTATTCAGGACTCGGTCAGCAAAATAAATAAATCATTTCTTGAGCTCAATAGTGCAAATAAACCACATTTTTCAAAACATAACTTCTTGCTTATGTATCACACTCTTGCTCCGCTTTAATGTGACATAGCTTTCCTTTTTTACACATTTCTTACCACAAAAAGGATCCCCCATTCATCCCACGTCCTCCGGGCACAAGGATTCTACAAATGTATGTTCTTTGAGGGTTTTTTTGGCCAATTTTGTATTTTGTGTACTGCTCAATCAATAGGATAGCTATCTTTATTTTGTTTATGTACCTGGCTATAAGTGCACTGTTTTGTACAAAATAGTTATCCCGCTTGCGCTCGGTATTCTCAGTCATCCAGCCCACTTTGACAAATTTGGTGACCCTTAGGTTAAAAACCTTTCAGTTGTGAGTGTTTGAGTGCTTGACCCTATCTGTAGGTTGTATTTCACTATCATATCCATACCACCACTTTCCAAAGAGGAAATTTACTTGTTCATCCGATCCATACACTTTGCATAGCAGTCTGTCAAAATAATTTTTTGAGAAATACTGAAAGTTCTAGAGAGATCTCTGCACTAAAAGTATTCTAAAAGGTGAAGAATACAACACCAGGGGAACAAACAAAATGACCAGAGTGTGTACGGATAGGGTTAATCATCTGACTGCACTGTATGCTTCCCAGAAAGCCGAGAACATTTCTGAATGTTCTGGGGTCTGCGGGGTAACAATATAGACTTTAAAGCGCACAGAGCATGCTGTCAAGTAGGGGTACGCACTATACAAACGCCATTTATTATAATTATTACTAAGTATCCCCCCACCCCCCCGGAGGTGGAGGGTCCTCTGAGCTGGGTACTGACCTTGTCTCCCTTCTCCGGCGGCACAGGCTCCAGGTGCTCGCATGGAATGTTCTCCATCTTGTCCTCATCCATAAGATACACCACGCACATTCCACCCTGAGAAATGGAAATAAAACAGCCCAGTGTTAAAAAGAAAGTGTAGGAGTAGGGGTTCAACAACGCTAATAGCACTGTTAGGCAGGGTATTTAAGGAGTAGTACATCTGAATCTAACGTCCGACTCTGACAGTATCCAGCCAAATAGGTTGAGAACCTTGAAAAATCCACAAAAATGGCTTGAATTCAAGAACGCCATGTCTGGGATTCTAACCAGGGCTATCCGTTTGTGGCCCAGCATGATGCCAACTGAGCTCACGAAGCGCTCTAAAAGTCTTCAAAATGTTGCCTCAATATATCCAAAAAAGTTGGAATATCTGCAACAATGCATGTGTGCTTTCATCTATTGAGAACATGCAAACCATTTCAGTGTCCTCAGTCTTAAAGAACAGGCTGCAAAACAGACCTGCACTGTTACTTGTTCTTAAGAACGGAAGAAGCTCTCTCTCTCTCTTTCACACACACACACACACACATACACACACATACGCATCCACACACACATACGCATCCACACACATGCGAGTTCACAAACATACACGTGAGCTCACAAACACGCACAAAAGCAGGCAGGCAAACACATACACTTCATTGGAAAATTAAGGTAGCGACATATTTGTTCTTTTAAGAGTTTACAGTTTGACAATATCCTTTCAAAAAATGTTCTGCAATAACAATTTGGGTAAGAAAAAAAAAATGCAAAAAAAAGTTCTTAATAGGTGATGATACCATTAGGTTGATCAGTATATTGCTTCTGCCTCTTTATTGGAATTTCCCCCCACCCCCCCTACTATGATGTAACAGCTGTTGTCTTTAAAAAACCGTTTTTCATTTTCCATTTGGCAAAGTGGTCCTTTCCCACAGCTGTTACTGTTCCACTGTCAAGGCTGTTAATTCTTTTCAAACTATGCCCATCTCATGACAGATCCATTTTATGAGAAACAATTCATTTGCCCCAAAAAAGCAGTTTTTTGGCCTTATTAAAAAATTTTTAAAATGAAAATGTTTTATGCTCCCATTTACACTATTTAGAAAGCGGGCTTCACCCAGCCTGTCAGAGCCAACTGGGCTGAGAGGGATACAAATCATCAAGATAAATGCCAAGATACTCCACCAAAATTCCCCACACGACAATCAAATCCAGGTTTTCAGTGTGCGATGGAGAGGCAGCACAGACACAAGTGGAAAGGGCAGTGTACATTATTGGTGTCAGAGAGTAGGGGGGAAAAAATATAGAAGTTAACACATGACTAATGCTTCAGTAACAATTCTCATAGGGTCTTCATTGATTTGACTTTTAAATATTTTACTTTGAATTATTTTGAGGGTAGGGTATAAAAAAAATTTATGAAAACTGTAGTCAAAATCTATTGTTGAAGCCCGTTTTCTCTTCCCTGTTGTGTTTTATCACTGAATTCAAATCATAATACTGATGTCAACTGAAAGCCAAATTGGAAATGAATTTTCCGTTAATAAATACATTTTAAAAAACGTGTTTTTTTCAAGTTTGCATGTGTTTTCAAGTTTGTTAAACTTAAAAGCTCATTTTCTCAAAATAATATCATTATACCCTTCCTCGCAAAATGCACAATATCTCAAAAACTACTTGAGATCTCTAAAAAAAACCCCACTTTGTTCAGCATTGAATTTCCTATACATGGTGTCACTTTTTACCTGATCCTGTTACTTTTAGTTAGCGTGACTCAACAGTCCGCCGGAGCTCCACGCCCGGGGTCATGTACTTAAAGAGCCCTGAAGCAACTTTGCCGGCGTCGGTTACAAAGTTCACATTTGTGTCTAAGTTTGAAATTATATAACTTCTTTCCCACCCCACACAGCAAACTATTACACTGATGTACTAAAAGCTCAATGTCTTGAGATTTATTCTGCGTTAGAATGGTTAATTTCTGTGGCTTAGTTTTTGTCCTAGACAAGTGTTTGTAGAATACAAAAATTTGTCCTATTTTAATTACAAACTTATGAATGAACGATTGTTTATTTAAAAATGGCACGACAGACCTATCCAAAAACTGTGTTAAACTAACTATGAATATCATGTCTTTTACCATGAAAAATCTTAAATCTGCGCACGAAGTAATAGTCAAGTTATAAGAGAAGAAAGATGCACATCTGTATTTTTTAAGAAAACAAACTCAGCGTTAGCTCTTATTTCACCATTAAACAAATTCGACTTTTGGTACCTTTCTTCAGGCACACACACAAATATCCATAAGTGCATTAACTCTTAACAATTCTTGGGTTTTGGCCAGTTTTTTTAAGGGAAGAAGGAGGGTATCAAAAAAATTCCTATGAAAGTCAGTACAATAAGAGTTATTAATCAATGGAAAGGCTAGTGGGTAGACTGATCAGAGACAATAATTATGTGTGAATGATGATTTACCTTTGTGACCTACTTACAGTGAATTAAAATTTTTTTTTGAAATGTAATTTTTCCCCTTCTTTTCTATACTTAACATAGAGGGAAAAAATAAAATTGTTTCCAGTGAAAAGGATTTTATTTCTAATTTCTATCAAGGAACAATCAATTCTACAAAATAGGGCTGTACCCCGGTAGCAAACACGCTCGTGCTCGTAAGTGCCTAGTTCAAGTCACAAGCCTCAAATCACTAGGTCAAATCATCAAATCAAATCACCAGCATGATACGTTGAGTCTAGCCTAAGCTTCAAGTACCCACACCAACTTGCAATCCGCGAAACCACTCGTGTCTGACCCCCTCTTCCTTCCCCTCCCTGCTTGCAATCCGCGAAACCACAGCGCCATCGCTGGAAGTGTGAGGGTTTTTTAGGGCTTGTCAGCGTGCGGCACGCGGGCAGAAGTATCGCGCGCTCAGTAAACAAGAGTTTGTGACGTCACGACACAAATCAGTAAGCCCGTCCGCCGTCCACGAGTAGCAACTCTGGTAGCGGGCAAAGCTCAAGCCTGCTCGCAAGCCTCTGGCACGAGCCGTCCGTTGCTCTCAAGCCTTCGATTAATCGAGTAGACTCCAACCCTACTACAAAACATACAAAAAATTTGAGTAACTTTACGCCAATTGGTAAGGATGACAGGCATATTGGTGCCTTGACTTGCTGGTTCAATTTTGAAATGCCAGCAAATAATCACATTACATAAAAATTATTACAAATTTCTTTAGGCTGTTAACAGCCGCATTTCACCTCAAAGTAATGGATATTGGATGGTTATTATTTTGACAAAAATCACAGATTTCACTCAATGCATTTGCACACCTGACCTACTACGGTTGAAATTTCCAAAAATAGAAACATAGAGCATTTAATTAATATTGCTAGAAAAGCCTCCCTTTGGCTCCCGTACCTCTATTTAATGGCATGGACTCCTCTGTCCTCTGGGGCCATAATTATAACTTGTATAGGTGAATTCTTCATTTTTGTTTTTGATTAAAAGAAAAACAAAAATCAAGATGGTGCACAAATAGGAGTGATTTGGGCAACACTCATTTAAGTATTAGATATTTAAAAAAATCCAAAACTTAATATCTACCCAATAAAAACTTACAGAGATATCCTTGATAACTCCCATCTGACAAATGAGCCTGGCATCGTTGTGAGTTTCCTTAACCTTCACCACAATATCTGTTGTGTGCCAGTCTGTCAGGCCTTGGTCCATGGCTTTAGGTAAGAGAGAAAGAAGAGGCACAGATGTACTATGAATAAACACACTTATTTTGGTGACACTGTTGACAAATCTATAGCGTTAGTTAAATAAAAGACACGACAGAGAACCTTCATTTTGATGGAGACTACTTCATTATGTTTCAAACAGAGGGAGGGAGGGAGGGAGGGAGAGAGAGAGGGAGAGAGAGAGAGAGGGAGGGAGAGAGGAGAGAGAGGGAGAGGGAGAGAGAGGAAGGGAGAGAAAGGGAGGGACAGGAAAAGTGAGAGAAAGAGATATGACATATTGATAAGAGAAAGTCCCGTCGGACCTCCTTCACGATTCTAGAAACACAGAGAAGAAAGAGAAGTAAAATTTTCAAAACATCAAATTATCCCAAGGAGGTGTGGGGGCGAAGAGGCTAAGCCACAAAACGGAAAGAACTTTGAACTTGTCGGCCGGTAAATTTGTTAAAGTTTTTAAAAAAAGCTACTTTGGCCTTCCATGGGCAATGATACGAGACAAATACTGTTCTTGCCATTTTGCGGTTCAAATTTTGCAAACCTGACAGACCTTTTTTTTCCTCAAGCCAACCCTCCCCCTCCATGTCATTAGCTCCGGACTGCTCTTATACGTCCCAAATATTGTTATATTTTTCTTTTCATTGTTAAATCCTTTAAATCAATATAATTTTGGTAAAATTATTCCACAAATATATATAAATGGGGCCTCTATTTCAAAAGTAGAAAATGCTATAAGGGTATGGGAGTGATGTATAAGTGATGGGGTGGGTTTATAAAAGCATAAAATGCATAAATATTAATAAATTGTTTCTACTTCACAGATCCCCCTGTCCTTTTCCCATTACAAGAAGTTCTGGAACGTAACTCCAGATGGAGAGCTGTACAATGTTTAACTGGACCAACATACCAGTGTATCTATGGGGCAATGGATTAAGGGGAAGGCCATTAGTAACCTGGAGAAGAGTCAAAGGGAATGAATGATGTGCAGAAAAGTGGGAAGACCGGGACTAAAATCAAGATTCTAGACCAGGATCTGGAAAGGTGGAAAGCGTTTGTTGGTGGTCTAGACCTTGATGCAGGGTGAGAAACGCAGTGACGATGACATACCAGTGCCGGGCGTCTGTGGGGTGAAAGGAGCACCAGGGGTCATGGGACTGTAGCCCATGGGGGAGGGACTTCCTGCAAAGCTGGCCGGGCTTGGGCTGGACATGGTTCCCGGACTTGGAGTGCCCACAAATCCAGGACTCTGAGCTGTGGACACACACACAGCAGGAGAATGATACTTTCATAAAATAGTTTAGCTTTAGTTTTATTACGAGTTTTACGGTACAATTAGGTCCTATCAAAACCAAAGATTAAAAGGGTCACCTGAGAGAAAAATAGAACGAAAAAAAAAAGGAGAAGAAGAGATAAAGAAAGACACCAGATGATAGATAGGAAAGAAGGAGCAAGCCACACCAGAGCACCTGCCAGTCATCCATTTATAACAGATTTTTAAAAAAATGAGTGATATATGTTCAATACCCCTCAATAACACAATCAATATGAACCCATGTGACTTCAATGACAAAACACACAAAGCATTCAAATAATATATTTGTGAGGCGTGCTGACAAAATGAGTTACTTTTCGGATTTCAGCCCTGTGGAAATTACTACTTCAACTTTATAGGTGGAGTTTGTACAATTTGTAAGTATGAAAAAATAAAAGACAAGATAGACTTGAAGAAAGTGGGATCAATTAAAAATCAATAAATCTGAACCCAGAATAGATTTTCGGCTGATACCTCAATTCTTGGATTGCGAGAAGTGACTCACTTTGTCAGCAAGTCTCACATTTAATAATTTTGTATAATGCAGTGGTGATAATAGAAAATGGTCAAAAAAGAGGTAAACCCTCGTCGCCCCACAAATAAGCACACACACCCCCCCACTTACCTCGGCCGCCATACTTTATCAAGTGATAACAATACTTGCAAAGTGCTTTTCCCGGTATCACTTTCACAACTGAACCACCAAATGAAATGCTAGTCTCTCCTTTTTTTTGTCTTCCAACCCAACCTTTTGATCTATCCAGTCATAATGGAATTTGTTTTTCACCTTACTGTAAACTTTCCTCACACGAACACTTTCTGCTTTCGACAATTCCTTCATTTTGATAGAATTTAATTACATTTGGTGCTAAGATGAATTAAACGAAGGTTTAAACTTCATAAACAGAAGAGGGTCAGGGAGAGACAGCAACCTGCGTGGAAAAGCCAGAAAAATATCCAAGCAGCTGCTAACTGGCACGATCAGCAGGCAGACCCTTTCATGGATCCTGGAGAGGAGGAAGGAGCAGCTATGGCATTGTGCCGCCTATTCTCAAACCAAGTAACCAAATAGTAAACAGAATAAAACACAAAAGGTCGTCTCTGAAATCCGAACAGTCGCAAAGCATGAGAATGGAATGGACAAATCAGGCCAAATCCCGCTCAATGCAAAACATTCGAGAAGGCCTATTGTAAAGTTCCGTTTTTAGAAGGTTTACTTCCAGCCCAGTGCCTTGCAGAATTATTCTATAGCATCAGGCGGAGTTTCGACGGGTCGGATCGGGCTATCACTTGTTATCGACAGAATCGCATGAGTTTTTTCCGCCGTGTCGGAATCAAGGAAAAGCGGAGCAGAATTTTTTCAAAAAAAGAGGAAAAATCTCTGGCAGAAGGAAAAAAAGCGGATTATCACCACTGATAATGGCCCTCCATTCATCTTCTACAAAGAATTTGACTGCTCTGTGTATTGTAAGATTCCATCATACTTGCGTCACTTTTCAAAACGGCGTATGGCAGACTCATACACTTAGCAGTTAAATTGCGTGCATAACATACCTTCATACCCCCCAGGTGACGGTGCAGGGTACGGGGAGTAGGCACTGCCTGGTGTCTGCGGCGTGTACGGGCCCATGGGACCCGGTGAGTCGGCGTGGTAACCAGGGGTTGCAGGGTTAGGGGTGGCTCCAAAGTCGGCGGGGGACGGGGAATCATCGTAACCGTACTCCATGTCATTATGTCTGAAATGTTAAAAAAACCCAAAAAAGCAAATATACTACATGCAGTTGAACCTGCTCTAACGGTCACCTGTATAACAATCAACTGTACAAATGGTGACTTTCCATTTCTCCTCTCCTTGTGAGTTAAAAAAAATTAGTTATAACACTGCTCAAGATTTCCACAAGTCAAAGACAGTCACTCCTCTCCTCAACACTGAGTGGCCGATTTATAAAATTTCTTCTGTACATTGAAAATGAAAGGGTGTAAATGTATATTTGTGCCAAATAATTGAACCTGATATTTCAATAAAACCCCTTGATAATTCACAATACCAAAAGATATGCCGAGGGTAGCTACAGTTAAGGTTACTTCTTAAACCATCTTTGAAGCTAGAAATAGCAATAGCCAGGCATTTAGTTTACAAAGTAGCACCATCAAATTATAGCCAGAACTGAACTGGAGAGCTGGTCAATCTTAATCTTGAGCAGTCAGTCTGAAGTGAGTGACAAAATGCATCCCATATTTCCTCATAGTACAACAGGATATCTTTAGACTCTCTTTCACACAAAAATATTTGCGTTAAGTTCAATTTTCAAGATTTAACATGATCATCTTTTCATGAATAAGAAAAAAAAAAGAGGCAAATAGCAGAAAGACAAGACACCCCACTCCGTATGTTTCAACTCGACAGACTCCATAAATGGCCATTTGCACAGAAACAACCTTCCATACTTTTAAGTTTCTACTGTAGAGTGGAAATAACACTGTTAATATTGCAGAATTCGTAAAAACTGCGATAACTATCATGGATGGATTTTTCTAAACATTATATCAACTGAACTTGTTAGGATCGGATCAGTTTGCATTTTTCGAGTCATGAACACGTTCAATCACTCAGCAGGAGGCACCAAAGAGTCCTTATTGGCTGTTCAGGATATCTCCCAAGACTTCTGACTCATTCTGCCCAGCAGAAGAGCATTAGCAATCTGGTTCTTCTAATTTAATTATGCAGGGCTAACTGCAGTAAACAGAGACATCTCAGGCTTTTTAATATAATCATCATCATCATCCAGTGCAAGATCTGCGACAGACATCGGCGATCATGATTTTCCATTCATTCCTTTGCTCGGATGCTCTCAGAAAAGCTACGTTTCCCGGATTTTTTCCTGTTACCCATTTGTTTAGGTTCCCTAAGTATGTTGTTCTGGGCCTACCCCTGCCTCGCTTGCCCTCAATTTTGCCAGTGAGAGCTAGATGTTCAAGACCCTTATGTCTATTCAGGTGTCCCAAAGACTGCATTTGTCGTTTCCTGATTGTTTTTAACATTGAGCGTCCCACGTGGGCTTCATCAAGCACTACCTCATTTTTTCCACGATACTCTTAGCAGTCTCCTAAGAAACCACATTTCTGTTGCCTCTATTTTACTTTCACTGTCCCCAGTGATTGTCCAGCATTCACAGCCATATAGAAGGGTTGACCAAACATAGCATTTCAGGACTTTCATTTTGGTGTTCATTGATATGTTTCTATTTTTCAGGATAGGGCTCATTTTAATATAATAAAGGTATTTATATAGCGAATTTCCATGCTCTACAGCACGCTTTCTGTGCTTTACAACATTTTAACTGTACCAACAGACAACTGTCAATGTGGCCACCGAGATCTGACCTTGGCGTGTTGGCGTGGAATGGATCCCACGCACTACTGCCTCCCCCACTGGGCGTTCGGCTTCCTTCGTGTGATGGAGTCATCCCCCCAGAGTGCGGAGTTCGTGAGCCGTCGTGCAGAGGAGTCTGGGAGCCGTACATGGGCGTGCGAGAACCATACATGGGAGTCTGACCGCCATAGCTGGGGGTGCGCCCGCCGTAGGTGGAGGTCTGGCCACCACCTGGTCTGGGTCCGCTGTAGAAAGTAAAACAATTATGAGAGCTAAGACAAACCAACATACTTTTAGCTTTAGCAAAGAGTTTTATGGCACTTGCAACACAATAAGGTCATATAAGTGCCGAAAAATAAAGGTGTTACAAGAGAGTAACAAACACAAAAAAGGAGGAAAGATCAGGACGATAGGTGTTCGATAGGAAAGGAGCGAACCACACCTGAACATCCACCAAACCAACATTCAAAGGCAGAGCTGGGTCCTCATTATAGAGCACAACTCTGGCCAATTTTAATTTTAGTTTTGATTTTTAGTAAGAGTTTAACGACACTTGCAACACAAATAGGTCATACAAGTGTTGAAGAAAAGAGGTATTATGAAAGAGTAACATAAAGAAAAGAAGGCAATTTCAGACCACAACTGGGAATTATTTCAGCTGGAACCGAAAAAGCAGGTACAAAACTTGTTCCAGAGCTACTGGGCCTTTCACTTTTAGAAATTTCCCAAACTTTTTCTTTTCAGTCTATCTTTCCACCACCTGCAAAGATGGGTTTCACCCCAAACAACAACCATACCTTTCTCTGAGTAGACAAATATTTCCCTGTCAGATACAGAGGGCAAACTTTACAACGAGGAAAGAATGCTCAATTACCGGGCAGAACAGGACAGTGATTTCCGATCAATCAGAACTCAAGTTCCGTTCATCATGATATTATGGGATACCAATATGAATGCACCCTTTTGCACCTGTCTTAATAAGATTCTGTGCTGATTTACTGAGTTTTTTGACAATGAAATGCTCTCTCCCTGGACCTGAAAGCTCAGGAGGCCAGGATTTGGGTAAACTTAGGATCCGGAGCCTAGAGCTCAAAGGGTTAACATCTCCAGAATATGACTAACCTGACATTTGAGAGGCGCTGCCTGTCCACAGAGATGGTCTTACAACTGGAATGAAGCTCAATACGAGCAGTGCTGTCTGTGGCGTCCTTGACGATTCCAATGTAACCTGTAGGAAAAAAAAAAAATACTCATAAGCCCACTGTAGCAATCTCTTTTTTAACTTGGACATTCCACTGTCAATAAAGGTAAACCCAACAAACTTCAAAAAGCTCCTTTCAGCATTCTGCTTTAGGTAAGAGAAAAGACCTCCCCATTAACCCTTCAGTCCAATACAGAACTGCCAAGCCCTCTATGATGAGAAACAGCAGTTTTCTTCAGAAGCCTCCCTAAAAATCAGAGTTCAAGTAAAAAAAATCCGTCTCCAGAGTCCCAGTAGATTAACCATGGCAAATACACTTGTATTGCTACTACAATTAGATAAAAATGTGTAGTTTCACTTAATTATGACAAGTCATGCAAATATAGCAAATATACCAGTGTGTTGTCACAATTCAATGGAAACAGAATCCACGAAAAAAGATAGGATTTTATGCGAATCCAATTGGGGTTCTCAGATGGGCTAAAACAAAATCGGAGGGCTCCAATTTTATCAGGGTACTTGGCAGATCTACCTATAGGACAGAGCAGAAAAAATGGCTGCCGAAGTTTGGTGATTTCCAAAGCCTGAGTGGCCTTAGAAACTACAAATTTACATTCTTTAGTGCCTTTGATCTATATTTTCCATAACAATAGCTCAACCGTTGGAAAAATGTACTTTTTTATTTCATCATTTTTACAAAAGCCTGAATTCATGACAGTGCCACACACATGTAAACCCCCCCAAAAAAAAACAAGGGAGGGTGGGAAGTAGATGTTTGTGTGGGTGATTGTCTTGGATAGATGGTCCTTAGAGCAGGTTCGAGTGCAAAAGCTAAAAATGTTCTCACCTTTGAATGGACCTTGCACAATGCGCACAGTTTGGCCAATGATCTCCCGATCTCTGCGGGACATGCCACCTCGGCCCCCTCCCCCACGGCCCCGCCCCCTCTCGCCTCCACCACTGGGATGTGCAGGGCTGGCAATTCTTGGCGACATGGGGGCAAAACTGTTGAAGGCTGGAGCTGCGCTTTGCTGTGAAAAGAAAAACGAGAAATATATAGGGTCTTATAACCATAGTGAGAGTGAGGTAATGTTAGGATGTAACTAAATTGTTTTGTAGAGTCCCGTTCAGCCATACATAAAGCCTTAAAAAAAAATATTTACATTTGTTAGAACGTGCAGACAGCCAACTCCTACATGGCAGCAACAGGGAAATTAAAAAAAACCCCAACCTCATAGGAATCATTACTTTTCTTAGAAAAATATCAAATTCCTTGAATAGAAAGTAAAAATTCAGGACAACTTGATCCCCATTGGTTGAGCACGCAAGTCAAATGAATGGTAACCTTTATTTCTATTCGCTGTTTGAAGTGCAACTGAACTCAATTTACCAGATAAATTCAAAGAGTATAAATTCAATAATCACAGCATTTAAGGAACCCTTCGAACAAAATAATTACTGACAACTAATCAATCAACGCTTTTGGTATGACGCTGTCAGCAGTTATAGAAAAGGCACAAAAAAGTAATAATTTGAAAACCTTACAAGGGAAGTTAAAGGAAACGGAACTGTAATCCAATTTTATCAAAGTCGTTACCTTCCTTTCTTTCTAGAGACTAGAGCAAAGAAAGACTAGACACACATCATCACTATCAAATATATGAAACCAGGATATTCAGTCATGTGATCACTGCATTCTTTTTTCCTCGTATGTTCATTTTTAATACGTACACAGATCCATCAGGTTTTTGCAAGTCACCTTTTCATCTAAACAAATTCTTTAATCCTTCAGCAAACCATCTTACTAAACATAAAGCAAACTCAAAGGTGGAAAACAAGATGAGGGAGTATAAAAAAAAATAAAATAAGATGGGACCAATACATCAGCAACCCAGTGGGTTGGCATAAAGTACAAAAGCAGTGCAAAGACGCAGAATACACTGGGAGATGTGCAGAAGATGTATGCCAGCTGTATTATCTCAAAAAGAAAAAAAAAAACAACATAAAAATGATGACAGTAAGGATAAAAATGACACGCATGTATTTGAGTTTGGATAAAGAGAACCACAAAGACACAAAAAGAGTCAAATGGTGCATGGAAAAAGCAAGACAGATAGACAGAAAAAAAAAATCCAGAGAGAAAGAAAAGAAGTAAGACATAACAGTGGCACCCTCCAACCACCTGCTTTGATATGAATGCTGTTGCCAATAAGTTAACTTATCTCACCTTTCCACCCCCAGCCAGGACGAGATGCCGAGTGCGGCACACAAAGTAACCGCCATTTTCTGTCATCAGGCGGGAATTTAAGAAAGCATAGTTTCGATACAAATGCTTGATCTCTCCCGTCCGTCCCTGTACAAAGAGAAAAAGAGAGTAAAGAATGGCAGTCACATGAAATAATTGCAATTGTAAGCACTTAACCCCCCCACCAACACTTTTCATATTATTCCGGAAGCCGGCTGCTTTGAACCTGCCTGTCAAGGCCAACTGAAGCTATGAGAAATACAGCATCCCAGGAAACATACAGAGAGCCACAATAAAAAAAACCTCCCTAGATGGCAATACAACTCTTGTCTTGTGTGAGAATGGCAAGAATGCACTCATAGTAGACACATAAAATCTTACTGACACAATAAAAAGCACACAGAGCAAATCAGACCAATAGGGTACACTGCATGAGGTTCTCTAACCCCGAAAAAAAAATTATGAACTGTCTCCATAATTCCTTTCTTACTGCAAAACAGAAACTCACTTATCACCACGGACAAAAATCACTTATCACCACAGACAAAAACACAAACTATCTTCTGAGCCTCTGTCATGCCAAACATACATGTAGTACAAAAGGTTAGGTACGATGAACAGTATTCCCATCCCACCAAGTACAACAGGAGAGCCGAAAAAATGCTGCTGGAGTCTCATGATATAAGCATGCTCTCCAGCTGTTTACTGTCTGCAGCGAGGTACACACGACAACTCCCAAGCTTTTGCCTCTTATCCTAGAAAGCTGTGTTCTAAATTCTAACTGCCAGAAGAATAAGCTGGGGGAAAACAAAAGCTTGAGCAAAATGAAAGAAAAAAAAGACTTAAAACACGTTCAGGCACTTGTGAACTAGAACTAGGCAAGGATCCACATTCAAGAGGTGCTTACTGGCTACGAAAAAAATCCTGCCCATTTCGGACCCCAAGGAAGCATGTGCGCAGGGACTCAAAAATTCAAAGATCAAGTCTGATGCACTTTGTATCAAGATTATTTTTCTGTTAGGTGCAAAATGACATGAAAAATGTAAATAAATAAAATAATACAGTATTATATTACACAATCTGGACAAGTTCAGGAATTCAGATTTTCAGGATTTATCCACAAAAATCAGCACCTCAGCACATTCTTAGGCACAGAATGTGAGTGGATTCATTCAACAGAACTGGACCTCCAAGGAATTTTTTTGTTTAAACTGTTTTAGTAAGAGCTTTTTGGCATTTGAAACACAAATAAGTCATATAAGCGCCAAAGATTAGAGGAATGGCTTTAAGTTAACATACAAAGAAAAGAAGGAAGCGAGAAAAAGACAATAGATGTTTCATCATAGTAAAGATAAAGAAGGAGCAATCCACACTAGAGCACGCGCCTACCACCCACCCGCAGAAGAGAACAGGACAACTACTTACAGAGTGAGGGCCATCGATGACCTTGACAATGTCTCGCACTTGTACATTGTTGTTTTCAGAGTCCAAAGACACTGCGTTCTTGGTGTCCTTCTTGCGGGTGATGGACTGAGGCTTCACGCCCAACACCTGAGGGGGAGTAATCAAGGTCACACTCATGAAACCAACATAAACTGTCTGTCTGTGTCCGTCACAGTGCAATCAGAATGACAAGGAAGGAAAAGTGGAAGGACTTTTGGAGTGAAAATTTCACATCTATGGTTCAGATTTGAAAAAAGGGCAAAAATGATTGATAACATACGCATATATAATATAGCTCATAAATACCTGCTTGAAAGAAGGCTCAAGACATTTTACAATCTATTATTACCCAATCAGACCTTAACTTCCAAAACATCCCAAGCTTCCTGAGAAGCATGGTGTGTGGTTTTAAAGACACTTAAATTTTCTAACTTATATCTGACTGTTAGCCAAGTACTCATTTCTCACTACATTGAAGTGATAGAAATTTGGGAAAGGAGTCATTCCAAAGGACATACTGGGTTAGAGTTCAAACCCAGCTATCAGCAATGCCACAACAGTTTTCTGAAACAATTTCAGTTTTAATTCAAACAAAAGTATTGAACCTACTGTGGAGCTTAGTTAAGCCGTAAAAACATTCTCTTAACTTTCCAGAACATAGATCAAACTACCCTCCTGAACTAAGTCCAACTCATGGTTCAGTTTAACAAAAGAATACGGCCACATGTGCAGGGAAACAATTTCAATACCGTTTCGATAAGAAAAGGGAGCAATGAATTAACAATACATCTGAGCAATGGAGTAAATTAATAAATGAAGCATTAGTAGCTAACAATAGGACACCCAGAAATTGCTTCGGTAGTATCAAAATTTGAAAAAACTATAAAAAGAGAGGCATAAACTTAATAATTTCTTTTTTAAAGAATTTTAACATTTGATGGAAACAGAAGTATTTTCAGAAGAACCCCTACCTTGTTATGCATGCTAAGGACCTGGAAGTTCTCTTTCTCCAGCCTCACAATACATCCTACTGTTTGGGGGCTGGGGGGCAAAAAGAACATTTTACAGTAAGTAATGAAATGTGTCAGAAAAATAAAAATAAATAAAGACTTCCAAATACACATCAGTAGAAATGTTTATCTCTTTATCTTAAAATCAGTACAGCTCATTTGTTAGAAAACAACAGAAAAAATTTAGTTCTTTATAAGAATTGCACAGTATTAAACTCACAGACCAAAGACATAATCAAATTGTCGAAAGATAGTGGGTCATAAAGAGCATATTTCACTCCTCCATGACCCAGAACAAACTTTTTGCTGCCGACAAGACCCAGTCACTTTCTCATCTACCCTGCTCATAAGGAGCTAAAAGGGGAGCTCCAAAAGAAATCCTTAATTTATTTAGTTGTTGCAGAGACAGAATGCATATAAACTGACAACAAACTTACTGAATACAGAAAAACCAAAGACTAACCTACTCAATGCAAAAAAAGCGACGACTAGCTTACTGAAAGCAGAAAAACCCATGACAAACTTACTCAAGCATGACCAGGTCTCCAAATTGGTATTGACCAAGAGAGTCCACACCTGTAGCCATGTCAGAACAGAGCTGGATGTCTTTTGGAAGCACTTTGAGCTGAGGGTGCAAAATAAAAAGGACTTGTGTATCAACAATAAAAAACATGACACAAAATTAAATATATTCTATACTGGTAAACACCCAGTTAGTGCACACCCAAGAAGAGGGGGGGGGGAATGTAAATGTCCTTCACAGATATGATTAGTCCAAGGAATGTTTTATTCAAAAGTATTTCACATTCAGCTACTGCTAGAAAGAAAGTCGTCTCAATCTGTTTTTCCGGACCACATAACTCTTCTAAATACAATCCACTAAAAGTAAGTAAGAAATTCCCCTCCCTCTGGTGCAACCGTCCCTGTTCTCTGACACTTTTGATAAAATAGCAAGGAGTACACAGAAAAAGCAAATCTCTGGGCTTTCACACACGTAGGACAACGCCCTGTACTTGAACTTGCAGCATTCAGAAAATAATTAAACAGAATGAAACTTCAGAATTCATTTTCAGAAATGAAAAACAAAATATTTCGGATAGCAATACAAATCCAGAGCCCCGTCCCCATCTTAAGGAACTACAAGTGCACATACCTCGTGCATGGTGAGATCCGAGAAGAGAACTATCACATTGTCCTCCACACGCACAATGAGCCCAGTGTCTCCCTCGTAGCGACCGGCAATCACCTTCACGTGATCGCCCATCTTGAAGTATTTCTTCAGCTCATTATATGGGAATTCCAGAGGATCCTAAGGACAAAGAGAACAAAAAAATGTGTACACAGGAAAGCATGGGGATACCTATAAAAAGCATTTCAGGTAAACAAGAAAGCTAATCTCATCGGCTTACTTTAAGAAAAAATACTGGAAGATTTATACACAATTCACACAGAAAGACTTGTTTGTTTAGTAAGTGTTTTACGGTATTGAAACACAATAAGGTCATATAAGTGCCGAAGATTAGAGGTGTTACAAGAGAGTAACAAACACAAAAAAGAAGTAGGGGATATAATGACGATAGATGTTTGAAAGGAAAGAAGAAGCAAACCACACCAGTGCACCCGTCAACCACCCACACTGAAAGACTTTTAAGTTGAAAAATTATTTGTAGCTGTTCACAACCAAGGCCAAATTTTAGTTAACGCTTAGTAAGACTTTAACAGTATTTGCAGCATAATTAGGTTACATAAAGTAAAATACACAGAAAAGGAGAGATAAGAACAATAGAAATTTGAGAGAGAAGAAGGAGCAAACTACACCAGAGCACCTGTCAATCACAAAGCAAACTTCATGCTATTAAATGACAAAGATAGTGCCTGTTGTAGCTAGCAGAGCCTAATTCTCATGAAAACAATAATAAAACACAAGCAACAGTTATAAAGCACCCACTCCAATCCTTGTGGGAATATCTTACAAATATGCAAGTGGCTATTCTCCGGCGTCGCGCTGGTCAATAGATTGGAAGCTGTTCTCCGTTTATTTAAACGAACAAAATTGATTTTGTGTCCAGTCATATAGTATAGCTTGCTGTTTAACTTATTTCTTGTTGTAATTTTAGATCAATTTAACTGATATAATGTCGCGACTTCAGTGCTTTCTTGTCGTATCTCCATTTTTGTAAACAGTGAAAATGTGACTCCTTCTTATGCTCACTCTTTGTTATGAACTCGCGTCAATAGTTGTGAACATGTTTCTTCTTGCACCTAACATAATTCTAAATTGGAGGAATTGGGGCAGTTTGTGTCTGAAAACCTATCGTCTCTAGATCAATGGAAGTGGCTCGAAGTGTTAAAGTTGTGGGAATTTTTTTCCAAGACAAACAGATGAGAGAGGTATTTTCAAATCTGCGCCGACAAATTATTAGTAATAGACTGGCGGCGCGGCGCCGGAGAATAGCTTCTGATCTATTGACCGGCGCGACGCCGGAGAATAGCCACTTGCTACAAAAATATACCTTGTAACGAAAAACTCTCTCCCATATGCGCAAACAACCATACATGTTTCGAAATCGAAAAGGGAAACCAAACACGTAACCACTGCACACGGAGGCTTGTACATGCACACACCTGTCATCACATGGTCCACAAATACATGGCCAGTGGCAGCAGTCAGCCTTCTTTTTTCTGTCTTAGTAAAAGTATTACTGCACTTGCAATACAATTGGGTCTAATAAGTGCCAAAGATTAGAGGTGTTACAAGAGAGTAACAAACCCCAAAAAGGATAATAGATGTTTGATCGAAAAGAAGGAGCAAACCGCACCAGCGCACCCACCAACAACCCACTCAGCCTTCTTACCTTGAGCTCCTCGTGCCTGGGCATGATGGTGATCTTGTTGCCATCCACTCGGATCACTTTACCCTGCAGGTTCAGCAACTCACCCTCGGAAACAACCACAGAGTCGCCCGGGGCAAAGTTGTGGGCAATCTCATTCTCTGACTTTTCTGGAACCACTGAATTTAATGGTTAAGGACCACAATACTTAGAGCCTAACTCAATCTCAACTACAGGGTCGATGCATTTTTTCTCAACTAAACCTCTCGACAGAAATTTCATCATAGAGAAATTTAAATACAAGCACACTCATTCAAAAACAGTTCTGATCATGAGGATATAGGTCAGAATGACTCTGCAACCAGTTATGTTTTGAAAGGCTCTAAAAAACAAACAGCAAAAGTGCATAAAAAAAGCACCTTTCAGAAGTGGGGAAACTGGTTTCTCAGTAATAGTACACACTGTTCTACACTTTTCAGAGAAGTAAAGAGTAAAAAAAAAGTATTCGACGGCAATGTTTCACAAAGCTAAGTTAGTGTCACAGACCAGCAGCAAGTATCTACTTTTATCTAAATCAGTTGCAAAACTGGGCGGTGTCACTTTAAGGGACTAAAAGGTTGAATACAATAGCATAGAGTGACTTACATTATAAACCTCAAGACCAATTCAGACACAAAAAGAAAGTTTTACAGTACACCAGTAACCCCCCCCCCCCTAGCAAAGAACTTATGGCCATTCTTTACAACAAGAGTATGACATGCTTCTCCCCATTTTCAAAGCGACTCCAGTTTCTTCAGTTTTTAAATACAAATTAACTAGGAATCTTCTCAGGGCAAGTTACAATAGTAGAACTACTGTTCTTTTTCCATTTATTGCAACATAACTGCGTATAAAACAATCAGCATGATAGCACATGTGAACTTTGGACGGGTGTCCCTTTATTTCAGAAGACTACGAGCACAATCTTACCTACTCTAAGACAAGTGCTGTGAAGAAAGAGTTGAGAAAATCTTAAAACAAGTTTTATGGGACTTGCAACACAATTAGGCCATATCAGCGCCAAAGATTAGAAGTGTTACAAGAGAGTAACATACACACAAAAAGGAGGAGAGACAGGGACAACAGATATCTGAGAAGAAAGAAGGAGCAAACCACAATAGAATACCCACCAACCACCCACTGAGAACATTTCGAGTTATCCACGCACAATGTCTTCATGACCTGTATCATGAGTTTGTCAAAGGATACACTCAACTTGCATGCCCTCGGGCTGGTCCTCAAACTTCTCCAGTTCTGCCAGAGTTGGCTTTACACCTTCAGCAATCTGAGAACAGCAAGATATTTTTGTGTCATAGAGTAGCCCCTCTGCTATTTTACACCCATACTTTCTCTCCCAAATAATAATTACAGCACACTATTGTATTTACATAACGTATACCCCTAGCAGACTATCCATTGAACAACGAAAACATTCATTTGTCCAGTCCATTGTACAAGTCGTCAAGATTGCAGACACAGATGGCAATGTTTCAGCTTGACAACCAAAAGAAAACTTAGCATCAATGTTTAGGTAAAACTATCAATGAACATTTAAAAAATAGCCTTTAAAATTGGGCATGGTAAACCACTCTTTCAAAAAGAGTGATACAAGTAATCTGTAAACCTTAAGAACATGCATTGATCCATTTAGAGTGTTCTTGTCAAGTTTTTCTGACCATAATCCCATCAATGAACTTCACTGTATATTGTTCATGGTTACTCTTTCAATTGTTCCATTCAGCTTCTTCACCAAACATGATTAAAATAATACAAAGTTCTCTTAATTTTAAAGTATCAAATAGTTCATAATGAAAAGGAGGAAGCAGGACTCACAATAGCTGACATGGCGAAGACTTTGAAGAGGAAGCCTTTCCTGTCATATCTGTTGCCTTCAAACATGAGGAAGTCACCATCAGAGGTAAAATCTCCACCTATAGATCTGTAGAGAAGAACAAACTTCTATATTTCAATAACCATAGCTTTCAGCAGACCCCACATTGTGCAAACCTATTTACATATACACAATTTCTACCTTTGTTCAGATGGCAAAGCTTATATAGCTACAATATTCAACAACTGAAATTACCCCCAGGCAATAATGGTAACAGTGTCACAAATTGTGGACAACATGTGGACAGTCTAGAGCTAAACAAATACCCAAACCTGATTTGGAATGACAACAGAAAGGACGTCATTTCATTTTGATCATTCTGCTAAGCTGCTGTCCACTGAAAAGTGTTGTGAGACACTGGCTTCCGGCTATCAGTTTGGAAATAAAATATATCCATTATATCACGAGTTAAAATGAATCCATTACACCACAAGTTAAAATAAATCCATTACACGGTAGTTAACAAAAGCAACTAACATTTTAAGCAAATAAAGTGAGTTAAGCTCAAACGCAAACATCCTTCTCATCTCACCTGATGGCATCCACATCAAAAAGTTTCTGAGGCGGACGCCGTTTTCTCTTCTTCTGTTGCTCTTGACTCGCCGTTGTGCGCATGATCCCACGAAGACGGGTGTAATCGATTCGAGGGATTAGTTTTAAATCAACCTCATTTTGAGAGGGGTACACGATATCAACCTGGAAGCAACACAGACATGAATATAGAGATGACAGCAAGCTACAGAGATGACCATAAAAGAAAAAACATGAGACAATCAATTTTTACAATTAACAAAAAGAGAAAAGTTAATGTGGTTACTTAGAAACAATTAAAAATAAACTTTGATGCACTTCACTGTTCTGTATAGGAGTGACGGACAAAACACACTGTACATTGCAATCTGAGTGTTGATGTCACTCGTCTTCACTCAAATATTGTGAAAGTAAGTACTTTCATTAATTTGGTCAGACCCGCTAAAAAAGATATGTAAACTGTCAAAACTAAGTTTCAAACACCCTTTTCTTACTGTAACTACCTAAGGGGTGGGGGAATGGAAGGGCGGGCAGGCAGCATACCCCTTCCACTATTTTTTAAAAGTAAAACAGACTGAGGCTACAACAGATCAAGCCTTATGGAAGGACAAAGTTTCCGGAACAGTGATGGATAACGGCAACTATAGGCACCACTTAGAATGTCTGTCAAGAAATACAAAACACAGTCCTCACTCTCAGTGCAGGCATGACAACAGTATCAGCACAATGTGTCCCTGACAACAGTTTTATGACAGGAGGCAAAGGGCGCCTCTAGTAGGTTTTTTTTTTCCAACCAGACCCTCCCTTCTGTTTTTCTACAATACATTAAGAGCCAAAAGTGAAACTCACCTGTGCAAGATCATCTTTGAACACACCTCGCTTGAGTCTCACCCATGCCTTGGGCTTAAGGCTAGCTGTCTCCTTCACCACTTTCAACACATCCGTCATTTCTTTGATGGGAACCATCTAAATACAAGGGACGAGGATGTTAATGTCAGAAGTGGTATTTCATATGAAACTGCACTTGCTATTACTTAGTAATATTAAAGTTTCATTCAAATCTGTCTGAGCTTACAATACATCCAAGTGAAAAAAACATCTTTTTATAAGGTTTAAAAATTGCGACTTCGAAATGAAGTCAAATCAAACAATGTTACAAGTTAGAACTTCAGAATTTCATCCTAGATCATGGAAGCATGTCAAAATAGACCATTACATCAGTACTTTAAAGAGGGAAGTTCACGGTAAAAAAAACAACTCCCAAAACCTGAGAAGTTCATGGTGCAACTACAAAAACTGACTTCAGCCAATATGATATGGTACTTCAAGCCCAAACACTTCTGGTTTCAGAGAAAAGGCACAAATATCATGATAAACATATGGGGACATTCAGTAAAGAAGAAACAAACAAAAGAAGGAGCACAAACGCTCTTGCCAATATACAAACATTCCGACACCCGAGTTTGTATGCACACAATTCATACACAACACTCAGATTTTCCAACCTGCTGTTTGTAGTACCCCATCCTCAAATTTCCAATGCCCTCAATCGCATGTTTCACGTGGGTCTGTTTATAAGATTCAATGTAGATGTAACCTTTCAGTCCTTCTTTGGCCACAACGGACTTGATTTGCAGAGGCTGAAAAAGAGAGGCAGAATTATGAGCAACACTGGTACAACAATGACAAAAAAACCCCCCAAAAACTCATATCTGTCCAAAAAATTTCTTTTTACAATTCAGGCAAGTATTTGGTCAGTTTTTACTAGCCTGAACAGAAAACAGGCATTAGCCAACATGTAACATACCCAAACCCCCAGCCCTTGGCAAGCCCTGGAGTCTCAAAGTTTCACTTTCAGAAGTCTTCCCTTTTAAAACAGAACCCAAGTCCTACACAGAACAATAAACTATGTCTTTCAACATAATATGGTTTGGAAAAAAAGTGAACCAGTTTGACTAGTTTTTAAAAGCTTTTTTACCCTCCTTTACCAGTAACTATTAGACCTACCTTGGTTCTTTCCATGTTTAAATACTTCCAATGATCATCTCTAAATTTTTCTGCAATATACTTTATGACCTCTAGTTCACCATCTAATCGAACTCATTCTGGAACACCTATTTCAAATTCCTCAAAAGAGTCACAGACCCTGCTGCTCTCCCAGAGCTGACACAGTCAGGACAATTTGGTCTCCTTACACTAATTCTTCTTTTACAATATATTGCTGGTGCAAAACGATCTAAGATCACCAGAGCGAAACTGGAGAAATCCAAATAAAATACACAATAACTCGTCCACAGATCTTACCTCATCTGTGAACTGATAGGCTATCATTTTCCTCATAATGTGCACCACTGTGGCTTTCTCTTCTCCCATGCGACATTTGACCACCCACAAGTTGGGATCCCTGGAAAAGAATAGCAAATATGGCAGACCCATCACACCCCCTTTCCAAGGAAATTTTAAGATGACCCAATGGCAGATACATAACACCAAGAATCAAATAAGAAAGACATAAATGGCAGATACATAACACCAAGAATCAAATACGAAAGACATAATGATAATGGAAGTTTCCTACCATGGCTTTGTCGAAGTGAATATTAATGTGTATTATTGTTATTTGATCAATGCACATAATATATCATATGAATATATCTATGTAAATTTCAAAATATGTGATATATTCCAGCAAGTGACTTGAGAGATGCATCTGATGTGACCTGCTGTAATATTGTCAGCTTTATTTTTCTCTTCATATTGAAATTCTTTCATGAAAGTAATATGCAATCTAAATTCCATGTATCTACATTGTTTTACCATTCCTGTACAGCCACAGAAAATTTCTGAAAGGGACAATAAAGTCACGACCTCAATGCTTTCTTGTCGAATCTCCATTTTTAATAGCGGAAACAGTTCATAATAAAGAGTGAGCATAAGAAAAAGGACACATTTCTATTGTTTAAAAGAATGGAAATGCAAAAAGAAAGCACTGGGGTCGTGAAGTATTATCTTATCTTATTTTCCGGTGCATTCATGTGTCATCCATTACTGATGCCAAAACTGTCTTAGAATTGGACACTATCAGCCAAAAAAAAGAAACCTGAGAGAACAGCTCTTTGGCATGCTTTAAATCAATATCACTGAACTGGGAAATAGACAAAAGCACAAGAAAAACAAAAACTAATATATAGTCACTGAAATTTTGTTTCAGAAGAAACAGTGTATGCTTCCTGGGAAGCCGAGAATGTCTCCGAGTGTTCTAGGGTCGGCTGAGGTAATAATGTTTATAAAACGCACAGGGCATGCTGTAGAGTGTGGATATCATTATTACTATTACTACCATTATTAAAACTCAGTTCAATCATGGTAAAAAGAAAAGCCCTTTTTGTTATGTTGTTATCAATCCAGAAAGAAAAGTCCTCACTTGACACCTGGCAGTCGTCCCTGTTGTGTGATCTCATCAGACATCTCCTCACCCTCTCCGTATCTCTCGGCAGTAGACACATTTCCAAACTTCTGACGGTAGTACTGTTCAATCTCATCTTCACGCTGGCTCCTGAATGAGAGCAAAAATAAATAGTGGTTCATCAGTAACACTTGTATTCTGAAAAATTCACATCACAGCACGCATCTCAATCTTGAAAAAAAATTACGCCTCAAGACAAAGAGCTCTTGAAATGAGAATATCAACCAAAACTATAATATGTATTCAGAAATAATGAAAATACTTCTTGTACCCTTCCTGATTACTCCATTAGTGAAGTTAACTTAAAAGCATTCAGCAGCTAACAGAATTTATAGCAGAGCTGTCAAAAAATTAGTTGGCACAGAAATTAGTTTGACAGTCTCCCAACAAATATAAATCAAAATGCTTGGCATAGCAAGGCTTTTGTTTGCCTGGTTTCTAAACAAACTAACAGGTGGGTGCACTGACAGAGTGAAAATATTCCCCTCAGACACAGAGCATAGAACTGTCAAGAGACATACAGTACAACTTTTACGATTTATGATACTTGAACGACAACACTTACTCCCAAATATGCCTGAGCCTCTGATGGCTCTCAATTTCTCTTTCAGTTGGATCATATGAAGACTTGCGATCAATGATCTCTTCAGCACCATCTTCCCACTCAACATCATCTTCATCATCCTCATCATCAACATCTGGAAAAGAAAAAGAAAAAAAGAGTCAATTTCAGTAGCATACAGGAGTTGATTTTACAAAGTAAGTTTAACCTCATTTCATAGTTTTGCAAAGAAAAAGGATGCACATGCTTTTTGTTTTAACAAGTGTTTTACTGCACTTGCAACAGAATTAGGTCGCGGAAGTGCCGCATATTAGAGATGTTACAAGAGAGTAACAAGTATGAAAAAGTACGAGGAGAGATGAGGACAACAGATGTTTGATAGGAAAGAAAAAGCTAACCACATAAGAGCACCCACCAACCACCTGCGAATGCACATGCGAATCTTTAAACTGCTTAACCAACATTGACAGATACCCTTTTCTCATGAACCATACCATTTACATTATGGCTGGAGTTCTGATTTGCATTTATCTTAAAATATATCGCACTCCTCTGAACTTTGACATCATCTGAGAGCATTCATCTTTCCCATTTGACAGCATAGCTTGACACAAATTGAGCAGAGAATGACCAGCGACACTGATGCTGAAGGTACGCCTTACATTCTTATGGTCATAGCCACAAAAAAAAAGTCAGTATAATGGACACACCAACGCCCTGAAGAAACATAAATTGTGAATAACACATGACATCATCATCATTGCTTTTTTCACACTGGATCAGGATATAGGCCACGAACAAACACTTTCCACCTTTCCCGATCCTGGGCAAGTTGCTTGATGTAACTCCATGTCTTCCCACTTTTCTGTACATCCATTTCCGTGACTCTTCTCCAGGTTCCACGTAGTCTTCCCCTTGATCTTTTACCCTGTGTGTTCCAATCAGACACTTTCCTTGTTAAGCAGCTGCTTGACTTCCTGAAAAGTGTGTCCAATCCACCGACAGCGTCTTCTTCCCACCTCATCTCTGACTGGGCTCAGTCTCGTTCTTCTAAATACTTCCCCGTTGGTGATCCTGTCTGTCCATCTGATCCTCAGTATCTTCCTCAGACACTTGTTCAAGAAAACCTGGATCCTCTTTATGCATGTCTGAGATGCATTCCATGTCTCACATCCATACAACAGGACTGACTTCACATTTAGGTTAAAAATTCTCAGCTTTGTTCATAGTGAGATATCCCTGGTCCTCCAAATCCTGTCCAAAGAAATAAATGCAGTCTGTGCCTTTACAATATGGGATTTTATTTCAGCCCCTGTTCCTCCCTTTCTGTCAATTATACTCCAAAAATAGCAAATGGATTTGAAGTCTTCTACTTCTAGTGCATTTCTCTCTACTGTGACTTGCTCCTTTCGTAGTGCATCTATCCTTAGGACTTTTGACTTTCCAGGGTGGATCCTCAATTCAACAGACTCTGATAGATAGGCTGTTTGAAACTGTGGTCTTTGCTTGAATCTGTTCCTGAGTGAGTGACAGAAGCGCCGAGTCATCTGCAAAATCCAGATCGTCCAACTGTGTCCATGGTGTCCGCTGTACGTCGTTTCTGTGTCCTCTGGTGGCTTCCCTCATCCATCAGCCAGCCAATTGCCAAGATAAAGAGGAAAGGTGATAGTTATCATCCCTGTCAAACACCAGTCTTGATGTCAAAGCTGTCAAGGAGCTGGCCATCATGTATAATCCTGCAACTCGTCCCTTCATACATGCTCCTGAAGAGGTTAACCAACTTCAGTGGGATTCCGTGATTTCTCAGTATCTTCCACAGTGTTGTTCGGTCTATACTGTCAAAGGCCTTCTCATAGTCAAAAATGTTGACGATCAACAGGGAGTTCCACTTCAGGGACTGTGCCACAAGGATCCGCTGCGTGGCAATCTGGTCCATGGTTGACCGATTTTTCCGAAAACCAGCCTGTTCATCCCGAAGTTGTGGATCTGTTGGGGACTTGATCCTCTCCAAAATGCTTCTGTTGAAGACCTTACCTGGTATTGAGAGAAGAGTGATTCCTCGGTAGTTGCTGCAGTTGCTGAGATCCCCCTTTTTAGGAAGCTTCACAAGGTGTCTTTCTTTCCAATCTATTGGGAACTCGTTCTCATTCCAGATCTTGCTCAACAATGGGAGAAGGAGGTCTGCCGTCACATTGGTATCTGCTTTCAGGGCCTCAGGTGAAATCTGATCAGGACTGGCCGCTTTACCATTGCTCAGCTTCCTAATGGCATCCATAATCTCTTGTTTTGATGGAGCATCACAGCACAATGGTAACTCATTTCTTGCTGGCAGGATGTTTGGCGGGTTACTTGGTGGTGGTCTGTTCAGTAGACTGTTGAAATGCTCTACTCATCGTCTTGACTGAGCATCCTTTCAAAAAATGGTTTTTCCCTCTTGGTCCTTTACTGTTACTTCTGGTTTCCCATATTTTCCAGAAAAAGTCTTTGTAGTCTGGTAAAGGATTTGCATGTTCCCTCCTGCTGCTGCTTCCTCTGCCAGCCTGTTCATGAATTCCACCTTGTCTTTTCTTAATGATCTCTTTACATCTTTAGCTGTTGTCCTGTACTGCTCCAATGCATCCGCTTTTGATCCCCTTGTTCTACTTGCTTTTGTCTCTGCTTTCAATTGCCTTCTAGTGCTAATCAAATCCAATGACCATTTGCTAATCCATTCCTTGTGCTCCAATAGTTTCTCACCAAGTATTTCTTGACATGTTGAAGTAAAGACTTCTTTGACCTTGGTCCAGTGTATCTCCACCTCCATGTCCTCCTCACCAAGATCCGCCAAGGGTTGAAATCTGTTCAACTGCAGTTAAAACTCCTCTTTCTTGTGTCCATCTATGACACTTACTTGGAACTTCGTTCTTTTGGTTCCTATTCTGGTTCCGTGCTTTTTGAGACGGATTGAGTTTTGCTAACAGCAGATGATGATCCGATCCAACATCTGCACCTCTCTGTACTGTGACATCTTCCAGTGAACGCCTGAACCTAGATGAGATACAAAAATGATCAATCTGGTTCTCCGTCACGCCATTCGGTGATACCAAAGTAGCCTTGTGGATCCTCTTGTGGGGGAAAAACAGAGCCTCCAATGACAAAACTGTTGAAAGCACAGATATTTGCAAAACGCTCTCCGTTCTCATTCATTTGTCCCAAGCCATGTTGTCCCATGATTACCTCATAGTCTATGTTGTTGTGAACAATCTTGGCATAATCTCCCATTATGATGTAGACATCCTTCCTTGGTAGTTTGTCGATGACCCCCTGGAGATGGCTGTAAAAAGCATCCTTGTCTTCATCCCAGGCTTCATTTGTTGGGGCATAGATCAGAATTATGTTCATCTTGATGCTCTTATTCCTTGTAGTGAATGAAGCCATGATGATCCTCTCCCCCTGTGGTTCCCATCCTCTAAATGACTTTTGTGCATACTTACTCAAAATAATTCCAACCACCTCTGCATAGTCCTTGTCTTCCCTCAAAGAATACAATATTATATAATATTTATTCCCCCGAGCTGAGCTGCTTAGGCCCAGAACACATGCCATAATTGACTTTATTTCTTTTCTATTCTTACCAGCTTCTTCAATGATGAACCCAAGGGCTCCTTTCCGTTTTTTCTTCCTCGGTCTAGCTTCTTCCTCTTCATCTTCTTCTTCATCAAATTCTTCCTGAAATATGAAATAAAAGTTCAAAATCTCCCAGATACAAGTCATCACAGATCAATGATGATAATCATGTATGAACACTTCACTTCCTCAACATTTTTCTTTTTCGAGTGAAAACTAAAAATTTAGAGACTTAAATATCACAGAAATCCTACATCAGAGCATAAAGAGTCAACATGAAAGATGGTTATTGAATTAGAGAGTAGAACAAAACAGTTTTCATGCAATTAGCAAAAGTAAATAATAACAAAAATAAATACTGACATTTTTATTTTAACTTACATTATCAAGGTCCTCTCCCTCAGGCTCCTCTTCATCGCCATCGTCCTTCTCTCCATCGCCATCACTTTCCTCTGCCTCATCATCATTCAAATTCTTATCTTGCGAGTTGTCCTGCTCCCCATCACTGTCATCATTCTTGTCGCTGTCATCTCCTTTGTCACTGTCCTCATTACGATCGCTGCCCTCATTTTTGTCACTGGCATCTCCATCATCTGACCCAGCTTTGTCCTCTCCTCCATCACTTTCATTGCCAGAAAAATTGCTATCTTCGCTGTCTGACATGCTTGGAAAGTTACCGCCTATTAACAGAGGAGAAAAAAGGTATGATCTTACAGTTATATTTTCTTAGAAAGACGTCTGACAATCTCTACTGCACAAAACAAATGTCTTCATTTTTCTTATACTCATCCGGAGCCTGGCGTGGGCGATCATGAACCTCCACTTCAATCTGTCTTGCCTTGCAGCAATGGTGTCTGTTGTTTTTATTCTACAGCAATATTACCATTCAGTCAAAATTTGGACAAAAATAGGTATGTCAACTTTAAAGTTTTATTTAAATATCTCCTATCTGCCTTGCCTGAGAGGTAAACCGAAACTTGCAACAGGAAACCCTGTGATTGGATGACCCAACAAATGTACCGTTTGAGCTTGTTCGCATATTTGAGGCCCTGACTGGGAGTGAAAATGAAGCCAGATTTATTTACGTGTTCGGTCACATTTATAAACATTTTCTCATGGATTCGGGCAGTATTTTGACATTCGGTCATTTTCAATTATTATCACATTTGTTTCTTTGCAAGCTTATTAACTCTTTCTGGGCATATGCCGATATATCGGCTCGAGTCCACACCCATTGCAGACGTATCGCTGATATATCGGCTGTGATAGGGTGCTTCAGTATTTTTCGTTTTAACACAATCCATCATTTATAATTACTTTTTATTGCTATTGAAAAACTTGGAAAGGATTTAGGAAACAAAAACATCTATTTTCACTTTCTCAAAGTGTGGGTTTAGGGAAAAACGAGAGAATTCGTTTTTGTGGTCTTGCATCAACAAAACGACGTAACCGTACTCAGGATAAATTTCTTAACTCAAACAAAAATTGGAATATTGCTTTCAGAGTTTTAAAATAAAAACGTAGAAACTAGGCCACAGGCTCCTTCATCCACAACCAATGTTAACTTTTCCAGGGGGAAGAGCTTTACGCTGTTTTGCTCAGTTGATGAAGAAAAAGCTATCTTAGCTCTTTTCCTACCAGGCCAAAATCCACCACTGGCCCAGGGCTTTTCCCTGACCTATTTTTACGCCCCTACCCCACCACAGGAAAATGTCAAAACATCCAATTAAACACACTCAAACCATATCATGTGGCCCATCAAACTGTTCTGAAGGTTAAAAAATAATCTATCAGATGGTGATATAATATTGAAGATTTATTCAAATTTAAATTAAAGTCGAACCTGCTCTGAGTCTGATGGCCACCTCTATAAGACGGCCACCTGTACAAACGGCCACTTTCCATTTCCCCCCTTGCGTTTTTTCTATAATTTAACTGTGTAAAACGGGACCTGTTCAACGCGGCCGGGGCCACCATATTTTAACACACAACCTCTATCACACTAAGCAATAATAATAACACCTGTCTTAGACGGCCACCTGCCTTAATGACTCCATTACGTTTTGTCATAAATTGTGCATTGGCCCCTGTGGTTGTGGTCGACCCGTCACAATTCCATCACCTGCCGTTGTTGTTAGGTAGTCCCTCCAACCGATCATATTGTGTAGGCCCCTCCCACTGTTGACCAATAGGTACCAATTTTCAGCTGCTGGTGAGGTAAGTGTGTGATCCCTCATAACCCATAAGCCCTGCCCAGAACTCATATAATATGCCAAATCGTAAGTGAAATGAGTGGTCACTGTTTACCCAGTCTGTAACAAAGGAAGTCAACATGAACTTGTGACAGAAGCGTCGATCGTTCTCCGAGTGGTGGCGACCCATGTGTTTGTTTTAAGATGGCACTCAGTCTTCTTCGTCTGATATATTTCATTTTATAGTCACCCTTGCGCAAAATCAGCAACAAAATAAAAATTACAAACAAAATACAAACCAACAACAACAACAATGAGGTTACTTTCGATTAGGACCTCAGATGGGAATGGTTTGTTTTCTTCATCTTGATCAGTCCTCCCTAAGACGGCCACCTGTCTATAAATACGGCCACTTTTCTCCTTGACAATGGGATGCCGTCTTACACAGGTTTGACTATATGTTAGTTTGGGGCTTCAAAAAGTGAATGCATTATCGAAGGTTTCATGTATGAAATCAACAATTTTCCAGGTTTGCAGCATCATTCAAACTTCCCAGGTAGGTTGCCTCAAAAGTAACTAATGCAAAGAAATGCTGAAAGTTATGTGTATGTGTACCTAATATAGAAGTGAAAATAGAAGACATACGGAAGTCAGGGGACGGACCGTTTTTCTTCTCATTTTTATGTTTCGAAGGGGACAAAAAAAGCGTTGAAATGACTGAAAGTCTATCATTTTTTTTGGTCTGCTAACAGGAAGTTTATCTATTCTATTATTATGAAAACTTGGATCTGCTGAGAATTTCGGTACTGGAGTCGCGGTAGGGAAAGTGTTAAGGACTATTTTTAGCAAAATGTCGCCGTCACTGTAGTTAGCGTCAACGAAAGTAAAGGAGGTAGCTTTTTTAGGTTTGTGTGCCACTCTTTTGGGGTTGGATTTGAAAACAAAATTTTTAATGACATTTTTGTGCCCCAGTGCCAGAAAACGAAAAAAAAAAACCTTCTGCCCGAACCGGTAAGTTTACTCTAGATCTACCCGCTCCATAAAATTAGATCTTAAGTAAAAGAGATTGAAACAGACAATCAGACAGATAGATAGATAAGATTGTCATTAATGTCATCAGACTGTAATTCACCAAAATTATAAGGAAGAAGCTAGCCGTACTTAATGACGGCGAAACTGCTAATTATGTTATAAATAATAGGGAGTGTATACAGACCCGGTAACCGGGAACAATGTCACGAAGTATACAGACCCGGTAGGGAAAATCTTTTGTGATTTCGGAAAGTTTCATCGCCCTCTTGGCTCAGGGTAGAACCTACCTAGTACTAGTACCTAGGTTCTTCTTGATCTATGGCCTAGATTTAGATCTAGACAGTCAGTAGACAGACAGACATGATAAATCATAGATCTAGTTTCGAGGCCTAGATCTAGATCTAAATGAAGACTGCGAATGTCTTTTCGAGGAACCATCGTTTTTCCTGTTTTGGAGTTGGAGGAATCAATTAGAAGACAATTTGAAGAAAAGAACAATGTCATAATTTCAATCAAGCAGTCACCCTCTCTATTTCTCTGTCTCTCTACCCTCTTTTTTGCCTGCCTCTCTCTCTCTATGTATCACTCGTCTTCTCTTTCTCTTTGTTTGTCTCTATTCTTTCTTTCTCCCCCACCTACTTTCCCATTTTATCTTTCTCTCGTTCCCTCCTGTCAACTGGGGCATGTGATATTTTTGCTAGCACTTCCCCCTCCTCTCTCTCTCTCACTCTCTCTCTCTCTCACACACACACACACACTATACTGGGTTTGGGCGCTGAAACTTTCCGAAATCACAAAAGATTTCCCCTCCCGGGTCTGCATACTTCGTGACTTTGTTTAGCAATGCCAATCGCCCGCTGCGCCTTGGGCCGGAAAACGGCCTCCGCGCGAGGGGTATTTTTGGGGGGCAGAAAGTGGAATTGAAAGCAGACAACAGAACATTGCTGAGCTTTTGCCAAAAGGTGGGGGTGTTTGCATGAGGACTTTTTAAATCAACCACTACTCATGGTAAAATATGTTTTCTTCTGAAAACTTTATGCGGCAAGGAAATAAGTTGGTCAAGCTGCATGAGCAAGTAGATTGATGTGTGCATCTTATCTCTTCATAGAAAGATAATAGTTACTAAAAATAGGGCATTTTTACTCTTCCTGAGTCCTGAGTGCACACGTAATTGTATGTTAAATACAGAATATTGTAAATCTTAAACTATCAAACAATAGTGCATTCAAACATTGAAAGTAGTTTACAAGTATACACCATCATTATAACAGCGT